TAGGAAATTGTGTAAAATGACTGATCCCACCATAGCAAGGAAAATGCGGGATGAACTAAAACTCTAAAGCTCCTGGGAGGAAATATTTTCATGAACTTGAGATGGGAAAAGATTTCTTAGGATGCCGTACCAGGAGCCATAACCCTAAAGGGAACAGGGGCTCCGAGGTGACCCCGGGGGGTTCACCGGGTCACGGTTCATCGGGACGCACATGCGTGCTTTCCACTCTGGATGTTACCCTTCCACTAAAGAGCTTGTTTTTTCAAAAAGACAGCGATGTCCCCAACACCCACGGGGGGAGGAGCAAGGGAGCTGGGGCAGAAGAGAGGCTGTCCCCACACCCCAGGCAGGAAGCAGGGAGGAGCCATGGGGGATGGGCTTTTTCACCTTGCAAAACTGAAACTCTGTCCCCAAAACACTGTTTTCCTCTCACCCCAGACCCTGGCAGCCACCATCCTACTTTCTGTCCGCATGGATTTGCCTTCTCTGGGACCTCCCACAAAAGCCATCATCCTGTGTCCCTCTGTGACTTGCTTATTTCCTTAGCAGAATGTCCCCCATGTTCATCTACATTGTAGCAGGTGTCAGGATTTCCTTCTTTGTTAAGGCTGAATAATACTCCATTGTGTGGGTAGACCACGTTTCCTCTATCCATTCTCCCTTCGGCGGGACCTGAGAGGGAGCAGGTTGCGGACCCCGCCCCCACCGAGCCCGGACCTCCTCGGAGGCTCGCTCCCAGCACCGCGGCCCATGTCTCTCCTTCAGCGGCCCCTTAGCTTTTTCTTCCAGGTGTCATGGGCACTAATGGCCACCAGGTGGCGGCGTTGCCCATAAGGGTGCTCTGTCGCCATCTGGTGGCCGAAAGTGAACACTACGTCTTCGCCCCTGTCCTTAGGATGCTGCAAGAATCCAGTCGAGCTGGGGAATACTGAACTCTCACTTGCGCACTTCCTAGCCTGACCAGAGGCCCAGAAAGGAATATTCAGACTCTGGGGCCCAAAGAAAGAATCTTCCAGAGCCCCTCTTGCCCTCGGTTAATAAAGGACCAGTAAACCGCCCCACTATTTCAGTTCCCCCCAAAGAAGGGGCTGCCCAGCCAGTATTCGGACGCTGAACCGAAGTCAGCCATGGGGATGTCAGGCTGTTTCCCCACCCCACTCCGTGGGACTTGGCCCCGCCAATCAGCCAGCAGCCCCTTCCCAAGGCCCTGGGCACCTCTGTGGACAGGACTGTCGCAGGTCAACCAGGGAACCGGGCAGGGACTCAGCCGGATGCTGGGGCAGCCAAGAGCCGGGCCGCCCCTCCTTAGCGCCTGGGGACGGGGCAGTGGGCGGAGGGCCGCCCCCTCACTCCGGCCCCGGTGGCCAGCTGCGCGGGATGGAGGACTCACTTTGTGACTCCCTGGGTCCCTTTGGGGAAACGCCCTGTAGGGCTGGTGGGAAGGAAGACATTTGAACATGTGCTGGGCTTTGTTTCTCTGCGTGGCCCCCTCCCCTGGCCTTGCTTAGATGTTTCATTTGCTTGCTGCCTGCCTCCGCTGATGGATGAGCTCTGCCAGCCTGGGGGCTCTCTGTCCTCCGCGGCTCCATCCAAGCCAGCGCAGGGTCCCGCGCGCAGCGGGTGCCCGGGGAGCGGCGTTAGAGGGCTCGGTGCGAGGCGGCCACCCAGGCCTCGCCTGTGGCGTTACCACCCAGCACGGTGAGGGGGGCGAGTCAGCACCTTGGAGAGAGCCCCCGGCCTGGGAAGAGGGGCTCTCTGATCTCAGGGCTTCGTGCAACTCGAAAGAGAAGGAAAACCACCCACTCATGACCGAAAACGACCTGCCTCAAAAATGAATCCCAAAAATGCTTGAGAGACTCAGGCACTCTGTCCTCCAGTGTCAGTGTCCTGTGGGGTCTGTAACAAATTCCCACAAACCGAGTATCTTAAAACTCATCAAAAATGGATGCTCCCAGTTCCGGAGGCCGGGTGTCCAAAATCCGGGTGTCGCCAGGCTGCGCTCCTTCTGTTGGCTCTGGCGGCGGGTCCTTCCTGCCCCTCCCGGCACCCCCCCGGGTCCACGTCACTCTCAACTCTGCCGATGCGGTCAGAAGGCCTCCTCTTCCACGGTGTCCAGTCTCCTCTGCCTCTCTCTTCCAAAGACACTTGTCATTGGGTCTAGGGCTGGGCTGGACAATCCAGGAAGATTTCCTCCTCTCAAAGGCCTTCGCTTAATCACATCCGCAGAGAACCTCTTCCCAAGTTAGGCCGTGTGCACAGGCCACCAGGGTTAGGAGGTGGACGTGTCTCCAACCCACAGCACGCCAGGTGTGAGGGTTTGGTACGCATTTATCACATCTCCCGTCTCCCTTCCCCAGGAGGGAGCTACTGTTGGGGCAAGGTGAGCACCAAGCAGGACGAGCGGTCAGCCAGCTGGTGGGATGGGGAATTGTCGGGGGGGGGTCACTGGAGACAGGGCCAGAGTGAGACTTCATTCTAGAGAGATCACTCCTGCTCGTAAAGAGAGATGAGAGCAGACAAAACTAGTCATTGGATGGGGAGGCAGAGGGCGGGGTGGTCAGGAGCTCAGTGGGCTCACTATGGTTCTAGGTGGTTTGGAATCAGCTTTGCAGGTTTGGAAACTCAACTTCTTCAGTACCTTAGAGGTAGAGGTGCCATACTTTGCAAACAGAAATATACCTAGGTCAGTGTGAATTTCAGATAAATCATGAATGGACGTTTAGTGTAAGTGTGACCCCTATATTACATAAAATTCAAATATAACTGTGCATCTAATCTTTTACAGTCAGTCAGTTCTACCACAATAGCATCTTCAGTTCCACCATGTCAGTCCCACCTGTCAGTAGACCATGTCAGTTGGTTCTACCACGACAGCATCTTCAGGACGGACTCCTGTGCACCAGATTCACAGGGGCCCGATGTAAACACACCGACTTATTAATTTACTTTTATAGGCAGGGGTAAAATGTACGTCTGCTACTATGATTCTTTCAGGAAAATTCAACCACCCACCAGAAGGCTGTTGGGGAGCACAGAACGGGGGCAAGTGAGAAGTTTAAAAGAAAACTGCATGTCAAGGCTAGCAGTTCCCCCTGGAGAGGGCGGGCCTGGGCCTGCTGCGTCCTCACGCGCCCCCCCCATAAGGTGGGGCCCCGTGGGCTTCTCCGTCATTTGCTGCTGGTGGAGTCCTCGCTGTGCTCTCAGAGGGGGCCTTTCTTTCAAAGTTTTGGGGCGCCCAGCCAAGTCTCCCAATCACCATCTAAGGACACAGTTCACATGCAAGTCACACATTTTCCATTTTGAAACACAGTGGTCTTCGCAGACACTTACTTGGCCTCTTTAAATCCATCTAGAAAAACGAGGTAATCTTTTGATTCAGAAATCACGTCAGACGCTTGGGGTTCGCATATCAGGAAACCCCTCACGCTTATGGATCGTAATCTCTTAATATCCTCAGATCCGGTCCCTTCTTCCATCCTAATCGCCACATCGCTGGCCCAGGCAGCAGCTCTTTCCTGGACTAAGCAGCCCCTCGGCTGGTTCATCAGAGCCCACTTTTGGCCTCTCCGATCCATTCTCTGTGTGTTGAACAGTCTGTTCAATGCATTGTTCAGGCAGTGGCACTTCCTGTAAGCGCTCTCCACTGCACTCAGAAAAAGCCGCCTTTTTAGGATGTCTGGCCTTTGTCGACCTTTGACCCCTCCCTCACCTCCCCTGACTTTGCTCCCTATGGTTTTTCCTTTTTTTTTTTTTAAAGAGGGGAAGGGAAAGAGAGAGGGAGAGAAATATTGCTCTCATTGGTTCTGAAACAGAAACATCTGTCGGTTGCCCCTAGTACATGCCCTGACCAGGGACCGAACCCGCAACCCAGGCAGGTGCCCTGACCGGGAACCAAACCAGCGACCTTTCCCTATGTGGGATGACGCCTGACCCACTGAGCCACACCAGCCAAGGCTTCGCTTCCTACAGTTTTGTCTTCTGCAACTTGCTCAATATAAGAAACATCCAAACCTGTAAAGAATTTTTATAAGATTTGAGCAAACTGGCAGTTAGTAGGGAGCAAGGTCTCAAATGCTCCGGGGAGTGACAGTGTGGCAGTTCCTTTTATGCATTTGGAATTAAGGAGGGAATGTGAGGAAGATTCCACGAGGATGTGAGAAAGCAAGGTGGGAATTGGCTTATAGGATAATTAACAAAATTATGTGCTCTCTGGAGGGTAGTTGCACTTACTTTTCAAAGGTCTGTTAACTATGCACAAAAACAACGGACAGGGCAAAGATAAACCTTTTGCTAAATTTATGCGCCTGGGGCGTGGCTGTCCCTTTAGGAATTTATGACCAGATCACCCCAAGAGGTTACTTTCTGTAGAACCCCTTTCTCACCCACAACTTCCTTAAGTGGCCCCTGTCCCTGCTTCAGCGTTCCCCACACAGCTGCTTCTGTAACGCTTCTCTCGGCAAGGTTCCGAGTGGTACCCAGGGCACAAACGGCGCTTAATTAACTGCCTAAGAGATGAAGGACTGACGCGGGCATCAGCGAGCATTCAAAGCGCAATTCCCTCGCGCTCGCTATTTCCAGATAGAGCTCCCCACCTGGCTCCACGCTCAGCTAGAAACCCAGCCTGGGGCAGCCGGGGCTGCAAGAGCGGTGCTGGCCCCATCCTGCAGGGACCCTCTCAGCCCACTCCGCGCCCCGGACATCAAGCCATTGCTGCGACCTGCCCACAAAAGGCCAATCGGAAGTCGGTTTCGACTCACCCCGAGCCGCCACTGGTTAGAGCCAAGGGAGGGGTGGGGACTTGACCTAGACCTGGTTCTTTATTGGCTAAAACTACAGAGCTGGAGGAAGGGGTGGAACCTGGCTTCCGCTTGACTCCTCATTGGCTAAAATCTCATTGGCCTCCGGGTTCTCATTGGCTAAAGTCGAGAGCTGGGCTCTGTCCTATTATCCTATGGGTCCCTCCCTGGTAAGTGGAAGAAACAGGCCTTTGCCCCACCCCTCGGGCAAACCCCTCCATTTTAAAAACACAATGTTGAGAATAGAGTGGTAGTTCACCCCGAAGCTGTGGGGCCATTGCTCGGGCATTTGCTCCCCGTGGCCTTAGAGACTCCGCTGAGCCCACGGACTTAGAGAGACCAGAGGCGAGGGAGGCTTGGAACGAATTCTTCGCGGAACCATTGAAGCGAGGCCTGTGGGCACACGTGGAGCAAGGGACCGCGGCGGGTCAGGCCAGACTCGCAGCGATGGCAGCGGGGGCGGCCGATGCGGGGCTGGGGGTCGCCATCCCCGTGGATCTGCGGCGCGAGCGGCGCATGGTGTGCGTGGAGTACCCGGGCATGGTGCGCGACGTGTCCAAGATGCTGCAGACCCTGGGCGGCGAGGAAGGCGTCTCTCGGGTGAGTCTCCGGGACCACAGGGGAGCGACGGAGTTGTGGGACTACGGTCAGAGGGGCGGGGAAAGTGTGGTTTCCTTGACAATGGAGCTTCAGGGGGGCTCCGGTGCAGACAGTGGGCGGGGCTTTGCTTAGGAGACCGCGGGGAATGGGCCGTTTTTCCCCGGGCAGCAGAGAAGGAAAGGAGTGTCCTTTCCATCCCGTCCTAGGAGGGACGCCTGAACGCAGCTCACCTGCAGTCCTGCAGGAAGTGCTAGGCTGCCACATCCTCTTTTCACAGTAGGACACCGAGGCACGCCGAGATTAGGAACTGTTGACTACGGGAGAGAGGACGAAGTGTTCGGTTATTGGGTTAAAGGTTTTAACAGTTAACGACTTCTCTGTACCAGGCATTAGGGTCCCCGTTAGAACCCTACCAGGCGGGAACTGTCATTGTCCGTATTTTTGGTAAACTTTTTTTAAAACGATATTATTATTTTTAGAGAGAGTAGAGGGAGAAAGAGAGGCAGAGAAACATCTACTGGTTGCCTCTCCCACACCACCAGCTGGAGACCTGGCCTGCAACCCAGGCACGTGCCCTGACTGGGAATCCAGCCTGTGACCTTGCGGGTTCCTGGACCATCGCTCAACCCACTGAGCCACACCAGCCAGGACTGTGCACATTTGACAGAAAAACCGAGACAACCTGTTCCAGGTCACCCAGGAAATAGGGCAGCTGGGACAAATCCCTCCCTTGAGCCAGGCTCTGCATAAGCGCTTTACACGCACCAGAGCTTGAAGCATCTCTTCTGTAGAGAGGCCTGTGCTGCCAGCCCTAGTGCGCATGGCCTCTAGCAGTGAATGTCTGCCTCCTCGAACTGCCAGCTCGAATCTGAAGTTATATTTTAATGTGCTCATTGTCTCTCTTCGCCCCTTGGCTCTAAGATTGTAAACTCCGTGACGGCAGGACCTTGTCCCTCTTGTTCAGCGCTGTAGTCCTAACATCCCTAACAGTGACCCCAAAATATTTGTCAAACGCATGACTGAGGCTTCACAACAATCCAGGTACAGGTATTACTCCCACTTTTCAGGTAAAGACACAGGAAGAAAGGTGGGGTCAAGCAAGCTCCTACATGGTACACTGGGAATTTGAACCCGCGCATGCCTCCTCTCTGAAGTCTGACCTCTCCACCGCTGCCCCCTCATCCTTTATGAATATTGAAAATCCTTGTACCTGTCACTGAGCGCAGAGTGCCAGTTGAGGCCCCGTCGGTCATGTTTTGCTCTTTTTCCTGACTTATTTACTTCACTGTGGCATTGAGAGGGCCCGTAACTCTCACTAACCCCAACCTTTTGTACCAGACTCTGGTTCCGGGTGAATCTTTGGGGAAGAGACTCTTATTCATTCATTTCATTCCTGTTTCATGGGGGCCTCCTCTGTGCCAGGCCCCTGCTGGGACCATTCCCAGCCCAGGAGTCCCAGGCACCTGCCTTTCCTGAGGGGCGAGGCTCCTTTTAACCTTCTTCTTCCCCTCGATGTTTCATGAGCATCTACTAAGAGTTAAGCCCTGTCCCGGGCGTTGGGGAGCCAACGCACTAGCAAGTCAATGGTCTTGGTCCAGTGAGCATTCTTGGTGCTTTGATGTGCATGCAGCTGACCCCCCCTGCCCCCCCGCCGTGGGGCAAGCACTCACATGTGGGTGACGCGCATTGAGTTTCTGCCGTGAGCTAGGTGCCAGGCTAAGTGTTGTACACATATTTTCATCTCATCCTCCCTACTAACGGGTCCCTACTACCTACTAATGGGTGATCTCATTATGCTTGTTTTAAGGAGAAGGAACCAAGGCTTGCAAGGGACAGGCAACAGCTAGTCAGCGCCCAAGTACTTACTACTGATGGATTTAATCTTTTTTGGACCTAGAAATGTTTGCATATGAGGCTGAATACCAAGACCCTTGGCGGGGGTAGTTAGTTCCTAGAGTAGAACAAGTCACCTCAATTACGTCTCCCGTAAACTCGGGTGACGATAATGCCTCCGCGAAGCGCCCCCGGAGAGCCGCGTGCCTCCCGGCGCTGACCAGCACTTGCCAATGGCCTTGCCTAGCTGGCGGTCTCTGCCTCTGGCTCCACAGCTGCGGGGAAGGAGGAGACCATCCTCATTTCTCCGCCAAGTAAAACCTAACATACCGGGGTTTGAAAAGTGAGCCTGCAGGAACCAAGGGCTCAGAAGGACGCCGGGCTTCCCGGGCCACCCACAGGCTTTTGCTGAGCGCGGAGCAGCCCCTGCTGCCTGCTTGGCGGGCCGCTGCTTCACGCATTTCCCTCGGCCTCCCCGCAGATCTATGCAGACCCCACCAAGAGGCTGGAGCTGTACTTCCGGCCCAAGGACCCCTACTGCCACCCTGTGTGTGCCAACCGCTTCAGCACCAGCAGCCTGCTGCTCCGGATCAGGAGGAAAGTGAGGCGGCCAGAGGGCGTGCCAGGGCCCGGGGCCCCGCCTGAGGTCACGTTCGCCGTGGAGACCATCGGGGTCGTCTCCACCGTGTACAAATTCCAAGGTAACTGCAGAATTCACTCTTGCCGCACTGGGGTCTTTCGGGGCCTGCGTCCCCACTGCCTTCAGGAACCTGTGTGTCAGCCACACAGCGACGTGAGCCAGGAGAGGAGTGCACAGGTGTGAGGGGCAGGCGGGGAGGGAGCCGCCTTGCTCCCACCGACTGCTCCCGGCAGACCATCCGAGCTTCCGAGAGGCGAGGGTCCCGTGAGAGAAGCCCTCGCGTTTAGAGTTGTCGCGTGGGGCCAGGTAAAGCTGGGCAGCAGCCTCCAGCTTTCCACACCCCGTGTCGGGAGCCAGCTCTCCATCTGCACTGCTGCTGGGGTTGCCTCCCCTCGGAAGCCTTCCCAGGCCGCCTCAGCCCCTTGGGACCTCATGCTGCTTGAACTCTTAGCCAACTGGATGTCTCCCACAGGGCCCTCTATCAAGTTTGCTTCTCTCAGGCAGCCCCAGGGAGGAGGCCGTAAGGCGGGGTCCGTGGGTGGGGGGCGGCGAGGAGGACATGGCCTCCCTGAGCTTCTCCGTGCGGGCCGCTGGGCTTGCCCTGCCTCCGTCTCCTTGCCTGGACGGTGGGGCCCTGAGTCTGTTAGGCTGTGCTGGAATCAAGGAGATGGCGCCGCTAAGGGGCCCGCCCAGCATGTGGGGGGCGCTGAGAAACCTCCAGCGGCAGCTCTCAGAACCTGAGGAGAGCGACTGGTGAGGAAGCTAGAGGGGGACAGGAAGGGAAAAGAAACCGAAACAGGACCTGGGCCCCTGGGCTAGGGCGTCTGACCGTCAGTCATTCTGGCGGGAGGGGGTGTTGGCCAGAGACAGCTGTCCTTGCTGGCCGGCTTCTGGGGATTTCACTTCCCGTCTCTAACTGAGCCCGCACCATGCCGGTCGGTGTGTGCCCCAGGACCAGCGGCTTGTGCCTCGCCTGGGCTGTTGTTAGAAACGCAGCCTCTCAGCATCTGCATTTAACAAGATCCCAGGTGAGTCATGCGTTCTTATATTTTGAGCAGCGCTGACCCAGACTTTACTGTCACATGTCACATAACCGTCCTTCACCCTGAAATATTTATCCAAGTGACTTGGAGCTGAGTTCGCGAAAGCATTTTGGAAGGGTGGGGCTTCCGCACCTGCCTCCAGGGCCCCCAGCCTGCTCTGCTGGGCCTACTCAGCGCCTCCCCGAGGGGATGTGGGCGCGGGCAGGGGCAGTAAGGGGAGCGGCCCTGGCTGTGGCACTGGCCGCCTGTCTGCCTCCGCTTCTAGGGATGTCAGACTTCCAGTACCTGGCCGTGCACACGGAGGAGGGCGGCAAGCACACGTCCATGTATGACAAAGTGCTCATGCTCAAACCCGAGAAGGAGGCCTTCTTCCACCAGGAGCTGCCGCTCTGCATCCCCCCGCCCATCTTCTCCCGACTGGACACCCCGGCGGACTACTTCTACCGGCCCGAGACGCAGCACCGGTGAGCCCCGCCCCCGCAGCGTCCGGGCCAGAGCAAGGGCTCTGCCGCCAGAGGCTTCCCTTTGGCCGCTCTGACCTCCGCTGCTCATCTCGAAAACAGGATAGTGAGCACCTATCCAACAGGGGCATTAGGGTTACATTTGAAATGCTCGAGAAGCCCTGGCCGGTGCGGCTCAGCGTCATCCCGTAAACTGAAAGGGTGCCGGTTTGATTCCTGGTCAGGGCACACACGGGTTCGGTCCCGGTTGGGGTGTGTGCGTAAAGGCAGCCCATCGAGGTTTCTCTCCCATGTCGATGTTCCTCTTCCTCTCTCCCTCCCTCCCTCCCCCTCTCTCTAAAATCAATAAGCAAGCCCTCGGGTGGGGACTAAGAAAAAGGAAAAGAGCTCGGGAAGTTTCAGCACGTGGCCAGGTACAGAGAAAGCCCTTGGCCACCGGTGGCCTGGGGGCGCCTGATACAACCATGTAAGAAACTCCACCTGTGAGCACCCCGCTGAGCCCAGCGCTCTCCCTACCGCTGTCCCCGTCCCTGGCGACCTCATGGCCCATCCCCCTGTGCCACCCCCCCTCCGTGCCACCCCCAGCTCGTCCCCCCATGCGTCCCCCGGTGACACTGTCATCCTTGTCGCGGCCACCGCCTTGCTTACTGTGCACTGGGTCCCATCCGTCCGCGCACAAGGACAAGCTCCTAAGCACAGGATCGAGGATCTCTTGAGTCGGGGTTTCTCTTGCGCCGAGAGGTAGAGAAGCCAGACAGACACGTGTCGTGGTCTCTGTCCCAGCCCGTCCGCCAGCCCCGCCCCCGCGCGCACCCCAGCAAGACCACTTGCGAGTGTGGGTTTGTACCAGTGAAACGAATTCTTTCACTCAGAGGCAGCCTTCACAGTGAAGAGAGACCCAGGGGTCACGGGTGCGGCAGGCCCCAGCATGTCACACGTTGGCTTTAGGTTGCAGACCAGCCACTGGTGACAGGAAGGACGGGGGTTTCCTTTGTACAAAAGCCAAGACAATAGTATTAAAAAAGGACAACCTGAGTTTGAAAAAGCCTGATTCGGGAGTAATAACAGGACCCCCTCCCCGGCCGGCCGGCCGGTGCCAGCGTCGCTGTGAGAGCGCCCTGCGCACTCTGACGCACGGTGGAGCGGGGACGCGGGGCTGGGGGCTGGCCGGGGCGCACAGCAGCCCCGGCGCCCCCAGCGTTCTGACCTCCCGGCCCTGTTCACGGCCACGCTCTCCGTGTTTCCGCATGCTTTACTTTTTTTAATACACACAAAAGGACAAAAAGCTCTCTAAATGTCTCAGTCGTGGCGTCAGCTCCCTGAAGGGAGCGATTTGGCCCCTGTCCTCTGCCGTAACCCCGGTGCCCAGAACAGCCAGCCCCGGCAGGCCCTCTGCGAGCCTGTGCGAGCCCTGTGACGAGCCCTGTGACCGCAGCTCTTGGGGGAGGGATTGGGAGAGGGATTGGGAGAGGCAGGCAAGCCAAGGAAAAAGGCAGTTTGAAAAGTGGCCCCTAGGGGGCGACATTCGTTAAAGGATTATCTCTAGCACGTTTTAAGCTTCCAGAAACGGGGAGGGTCTCGCCCGCTCGCTTGGTGGCCGAGGGTCGCCGCCCCTCTGGCCAGCCTGGCCAGGGACAGCTGGCTATGCTCTGGCCTGCGGCCCCCGCACCGCCAGAGGCAGAGCCGCTGGTGACGAGGGCCCTGCGAGTCCAGCCCCGGTCCTGGCACCCCCTGTCCCCACGCTGTGCAGAGGCGATCAGGCTGTCGCCTCTGGACCCGAAGACCTGTCCCCAGAAGTGTGCACCGTGAGGTGTGGAGAAGCAGACGCCCTCCCGCTGAAGGGTCCCCAAGAATAAGGTCAGCTGTTTGGGGGAGCAGTTTGGCAAAATCTATTTCGATTTTAGATGTTCTTTTCCTGTCGGCCAAGCAGCCCACCTGCAGGAGTTTACCCCGCAGTGACCGCCACCTGAGGGCTCGAGGGTGCGGTCAGGGGGGTGGTCACTGACCGATCATCGGAGCGGCAAGACCCTGGGGGCCGCGGAGCCGGGGGGCAGGGGCGCCCGGGCGGGCACCTCGAGCAGGCAGCTCTGAGGGGCCCCGGCCTCCCCCACCCGCTCCCACCTGTAAGGGCGACAGCGATCGCGTGCGCTGCCCTGCTTTGCGTGGGGGCTCAGCGACTGGATTTTTAAAATACAATAGTGAGTGCCTGGCTGTTACAATACAATGAGAGTTTGCTAAAATAGGTAAATCCCCAATCAGTCCCTTAGTAGGAACGTGGTTAGTTAAAGTATAGCCCATCGACCCCGAGGAGCCCCATGCAGCCTCTCAGGGAGCTGGCTCGCGGACCAGCGGGGCGCGTGCCCAGGGCGCCTTGGTCTACGGAAGAGGCAGGTGTTAGAGCAGGCTCTGTGGTACGCAGATAGACTGGTCTGATGCTAGAAGTCTAGAAAAATCTGGAAGGTTGGGCCCCCAATGGTTATCTCTGGATGGGAGCTTTCCCTTACCTCACTGAATGTTTCCCTCCACCAGCAGGGCCACCTGGTGTGGCTCCCAGCGCCCAGCGCCCAGCGCCAGGGAGAGCGGGCGGAAGAGGCTCCGGGCCGGGCTGGGCTGGGCTGGGGAGCTGGACGAAAACCGGCAAGGGTTAGCGTCCAACGTGGGTGTGACTGGATGAGGGGGGCGGGGTCGTGACCAGCGGGAGTGGGGTGGGGGCGGGGGGCTGGGGAGCTCTGGAGGAGCTGACGTTGGAAACGGACCGAGGGAAGGCGGGGCCGCGCAGGCGGAGACCCAGGAGACCGTCCCAGACCAGGGACTGACTCAGCAGAGAAGGAAGGATCGGGAGCTGGTGACCCCAGAGCAGAGCAGAGGGCAGGCAGGGGAGGGTGTCGCAGGTCGTGCTGAGGGGCCTGGTTTTACCCTAAGGAAAAGGTGTATTGTTCTCTTCCTTTAAAAAAGCGTAAAATAGAAAGCCCCAAACACACCCAAAGTAGAGAGAATTGTCTGCTGGGCCCTGCCCGCAGCAGCAGCAGCTGCGGTGCCTGGCAGCCCTCCGCTCGCTCGGCCCCCCCCCGCCCCCACCCAGGTCCCGGGACAAGCCAGGGCCTGTGTGGGGCAGGGAGGGACTTGTTCCTAAAAGTGTAGCTGCAGCCCTGCCGTCGCGGCGAGCGCGTTTGACGCCGGTCCTTGCCTGCCAGCCCTCGTTCCGTCTCCCCGGTGGTCTCAAAGGCGACTCGAGAGCCAGGTGGCCACCCAGTTGCGGTGTCGGCATCTCAGGCCACCGGCTCCGTAGTGTCGCCCCGGCCACGCTCCCTGATTGCGGGAGGAAGTCCTGCTGTGCGAAGGAACAAGGCGCCCCAGGAGCGCGTGGCTCACAGTCGGGCCCCATCCCTCCTGCGGACCCTCCTGCCCGTGGAGGGGCGTCTGTGTGGGTGTCGGGTTGGTGCGGCCGAGTTTGAGGCAGAGGGCGTTCGGAGCCATTTTAAAATTTACCTGTTTCTGATTATTTTTCCCTCACACGCATTTTTTTCTTAAAATCAGAAACAAAAATATACAGGGAAGAGATTGGGGCCCACAGTGTGCTGCTGGCCCTGGCTCTGGTGACAGCATCTGGTCACTTCTCTGTCCTGAGGGGCCAGCAGGCAGCTGTTCCCAAGCCCCTGGGAGGGGGGCGCGGGGGGAGGGCCAGCTGCCCTGGGAGCCACGGGCCCTTTTTCCTGCCACGTGCTTTATTGATTTTCCAGCACATGGAAAGGACCTGCTTTTCTCCCAGGGCCGCCGGCCCTCCTCGGCGGGCCTCCCGGGACACGAGGACTGGGGGCGGGGGCCGGCCTGGCCGGCACCCCCCTTGAGGAAGCTGGGGTTGCGTGGGGGCGGGCGGGGGCTCTGGCCCTGCTGGGAGCTGCTTTCCTTCGTGGGGGTGTCCGGGGTTTCAGGGAGGTGGCTTTGAAAACAGGATGCAGCCTCTTCTGTCCAGGATGGTTTCTGATGGAGCCAAAGCCACGGTTTTTAAAAAATGGCCTGGCCTTGTTCCTGTGTTTATAGTTTTGTTTCCCAATGTGAAAATCATCTCGTCGTTGTTCATGAACGTGCAGATGGTATGCACTTATATAGAAAAACTAGGATAGAATGGAAACAAATTTAAAAAATAATAATGACCTCAATAACATTGTGACATCCAGGACGGACCGCTTTAAAACGCACTTCGAAATGACTCAGTGAGCGTGGGGTGGGGTGCGGGCAAGGTGAGATCAGCCGTGCGGCGCTGCTCGATGAAGCTGATGGCGGGCGTGCGGGGGCTTCTTCGCACTGTCCTCCCTGCTTCAGTGTAGCTTGGACATTCCTGGCACCCCACCTTAGAGAGGCGGCGCGCTGGGCGCCTTGGGGCTCCCTTGTCCAGGCACGTCCTGTGCCGACAGAGACCCGAGCATGGCTGGTGGCGGAGCCTGGCTTTGCCCTCGGCTCCGGGATGAGGCTTTAGTTACTGCGCAGGAAAATGGCTCCTTCCCTCGTAGGTGGTTTCAAGGGTTGAGTAAGTGAGTCGTGAAAGTCAGTGGACGCAGCTGCTGGCAGCCAGCGGGCCAGTCGCGTCCTGCGTGGGAACGGATTTCACCGTTCCCGCCTGAGGGGCATTCAGGTAGTTTCCAGTTCTTCGCTGGCTGATAGGTGCATGCGTGAGTCGACGCAGCCAGGAGGCCCCGGCCCTGTGACAAGAGCCTCCCCGACACCGGCCCCTGGGAGCTTTGGGCCTTGCCCGGCCTCAGAGGTGCAGGCTGAGAGCCCTGCTGCGCGTCCCGGGCAGTCGCCACCCCTTCTCCCGGGCGCTCAGCCCGAGGACTGACTCCTGCCTCCAGTAGCCGCTGCCGAGGCCCCCTCCCTAGCCCAGATTCCCGGGGAAGCACAGAAACGTGGCCCATCAGCGTCACGGCCCTGGTGGCTCCCTGTCTGGCCCGGCCAGGCCTGTGCCAGGGCTCGTCCTCGGCAGCCCGGCCCTCACCGGCCCTCTCTGCCCCCAGGGAAGGCTACAACAACCCCCCGGTCTCAGGCGAGAACCTCATCGGCCTGAGTAGGGCCCGGCGCCTGCACAACGCCGTCTTTGTCAACTTCGAGGACGACGAGGTGCCCGTGCAGCCGCTGGAGCCTGCGGTGCAGACGTGGCGGCGGCTCTGCACCAACCCCATGGACCAGAAGGTGGAGGAGGAGCTGCGGAAGGTGAGCGCGGGCCCGCCTGCACCGGCCGCCCCCAGAGACCCCGCTGGGCTCGTCCTCGTCCGGGCCTTTGCGGTGGGCTGCGCGGGCTGCCTTACCCTGGCTGTCGGCCCACGGGGAGCGTCGCCTCTGGACGCCGTGTCTGAAAGCACGCCAGCGTGAGCCCGGACTCCCAGGCTGCAAACGCGCCGCAGGGTGCTCCCAGGGTCCCCGTGGGAGGTGAGCGTTGTTCAGGTGGGACTTCGGCATGGAGCTCCAGGGCGCCGCAAGCTTTCCTTGTCGCTCAGCACCTCGCCACAAGGCGGCCGGCCCAGCCCGGCCCGCGCTGCCTCTGGGGGGCGTCCAAGGGCGGGCCTGCCCTGGGACGGGAACGGCCTCCCGCCTGGCTCTCTGGCCTGCGGGTTCTGGGGAGACGCAGGCCGGGGCGCCGCTCCTCATGTCCCCGCAGGCACGGACAGTGGGTGCCCGATGAGGCCACGTCACTGCTCGCTGAGGTGCACCTCGTATTGCCGTTACTTTTCCTTTGGGGGGGTGGGGTATTTCTGAAAGCCTGTGTTGTCGCCTTGTGTTCCTGGTGGTCACTGCAAGAGAGGTGTTGGGGGCAACTGTCTGGGGCCTCTCGTCGTCCTCTGGACACAGCCCAGTGCTAGCCTGGCTCGGGGCCCTTCCCGCCCTGTTCCCCGCGCTCCTCCACACCAGCTGCTGCGGTCCTCCCCCGGCCAGGCCCGGGGTCCCCGCTCAGGTGCTGCCCTCGAGGCTGGGCCTGGCCGGCGCCCTGGGGCTCTGCCTCGCCCCCCTCCAGGCTCTGCTCTGGCTCCTTCGGTCATCTGCCTCCCCTGCTGGCCTGTGAGCTGCACAGGACGGTGACCATGTTCCTCGCAGTCACCCAGGACCCCGGGCCCCGCGGCCACACTGGACGCAGGCCAGGCACGCTGTCCCTCTGCTGAGAGCTTGCCCCTGGGGCAGGTCCTTCCCACGCAGCCGCCGCTCCCACCCCAGCTCCTTTCCGGAGGGGACCTCTGGGGACCTGACCGTGCTGCTGGGTGTCGGGGCTGGGGGGCAGGAGGCGGCCTCTGCTCCCCTCAGCCTCTTCCTTGACCCCCCCCCCCAGCTGTTTGAAGTCCGTCCTGTCTGGTCACGCAACGCCGTCAGGGCCAAAATCAGTGTCCACCCCGACAAGCTCAAGGTCTTGCTGCCCTTCATGGCCTATTACATGGTGAGTGTCTGCCCCGCCGTCCACCGTGGTTCCCAGCAGGCAGGGTCCCCACCAGGGCCATGCAGATCCCCGATGTGACCTCTGCGGGCCACGGCACAAGCGGGTGGCCCTGTCCTGGCACCCCCTGAAAGACCACCACAGCGCCTCGGGAACACGGTCGGCCACGCGGCACGAGTTTAGGATTAAGGAGTAATTTCGTAACTTTCACGTAAGGGATTACCCGTCTTTCAGGGACCTTGTCCTGAGAACTTTCTAAGGACTGGGCGCTCGGAGAAGGGCTGTGTGCACATCTCGCCCTTCGCCCTCCCCAGGGGCGGAGCAGCGCCCCTTCTCCCTCTCAGGACGCGCCCCCGCTCACAGAAGTGACTCGATGTGCCACGGTGTTCAGCCAGCGAGCGGCAGAGCCGCCTGGGGTCCGGCCCATCCAACTACAGAGCCCAGGCCCCGACCGCAGCGCCGTCGGCCCCGACCACGTGACCTGCACTGAGCGGGGTTCACTGTCCGGGCAGGCGGAGACGGCGGTGTCACTTCTGAGGCTCCCTGGGTGCTGGGGGAAGGGATGCTGCCTGCCGGGGCCCCCGCGAGAGCGTCGCAGAGGCCGGCCCGAGGTGTGACCGGGACAGCAGCGACAGCTGGTGGGCCCCCCTGCCCCCCGTGCTGGGTCCCAGACCTCGAGAGTCGCCGTCTGCTTCCAGTCTGGGCTTTCTAGACATAAGGACCTCAGGAGTTCCGAGCAGGGACAGGACATCCTGTCCGTAGGGACAGCAGTGGCGTTCACTGGGCGCCCTCCCCGGGCCAGGCGAGCGGTGCGGGCTCCCAGAGCCGCGCGTCGTCTAACCCCCCCAGAAGCTGGGGGGGCTCACGCCTCCTCCGCCTGACGGGCCACCCGAGGTGGCAGAGCCGGGGTGGGGCTCCAGAGCCAGGGCCCCGCCTCGGGCCGCGGCATCGCCCCTCCCCGGGCAGGACCCACTCCCCTCGCCCGCCTCTCCCGCCTCCAGATCACGGGCCCCTGGAGAAGCCTGTGGGTCCGGTTTGGGTACGACCCGCGAAAACACCCGGAGGCCAAGGTTTACCAAGTCCTTGATTTCCGAATCCGCTGCGGGATGAAATACGGTAAAAGTCGCGAAAACCCCTCTTCGCCTGTCTTTCTGTCCCTGGCGTCTGTGTCATGAGCATGCGTCCACGCGGAGAGGGCGAGAGGCCCTTCCCCCACGGGGACGGCCGCCCCTCCAGTTTCCGAGCTGCGGTCACTCGTCCACTCGGCGACTCCGGCCCCTGTGGCTCCTGTGCTACAGGCCAGGCGTCCGGCGCGTCCGGTCCCCAGGCCCACGGCGAGCCCCTGCCCTCGGCCCCGTCACGGGGCCCCGCGCGGTTGGGGCCGGGATGCGGTGGCTCCTGCTGCCCAGGCCCTGTCTCAGGAGCCGTCCCCAGTGAGCCCTGGTGTCTGTCGCGCGAGGCAGGCACTGTGGGCTGGAAGGAAGGGGCCATGGGCCTACCTCGCCTGGCACGCACTCCCTCACCTGCAGGTTACGCCCCCAACGACATGCCTGTGAAGGCCAAGCGCAGCACCTACAACTACAGCCTCCCGATCACCGTCAAAAAGACACGTGAGTGCCTCAGGCTCGCCCCGCAGCTCGGCGGCCAGGCCCTCGCCCGCACCGATGCTGTGGATGACAGCGTCTGGCTTGTGGGGGAAGGGTCCCCGGGGAGAGCCAGGGCCCTGCAGGCCATGCTCCCTGGGAGGGGTGGGATGAACGGGGTGGGGGGGTGCAGGGAAACCCCCTTGTCCGTATTCCAAAGCACTGCTGTTGCCACTGGCAGCCAACCAGGTTGTTACCATGCATGACCTGAAGCAGGGTCTGGGGCCCTCGGGGACAGCTGGCATGCGGAAATCAGCCTCGAACAAGTATAAGCTCAAGGTGGGTGCCCCGGAACCCCGGGAAGGCAGCTGCCCCCCACCCCAGCTGAGAGAGGAGTGGGGGGTGGGGAGGCCCAGGACGCACGCAATGCCCTCAGGCCCCGGGGGCGGCCGGGCGCGTGCCCAGGTGAACACAGGTGCCCAGCAGGGGCAGCAGTTCCCAGAGGCTGCCTATGCTCAGGCTGCTGCGAGCGCCCACAGCCTGGGGCGCGGGGAGGCCAAGCAGCGCAGCTCCCCCCCCCAGAGCCCCCTCGCACAGGGCGGCAGAGTGTGCGTGCTGCCTACGGGGCGGGAGACAGGCGCGTGGGGTCCTCTCGGTGCGAGGCAGCCAGACCGCCGCCTGCCGCGGACCCCCTCATCGGGCCTCTCGTTTTAGGCTATTACCCCACCTGGAATCGATCTGTGTGGCTTGGCGGGGGCGGGGGGTGGGCGTGGAGAAAATGACCCTGGGTCCCCTACATCCTGTGGCGGCGAGCAGGGCCACGCCAGGTTGAGCGGTCAGCACAGTTGGGATGGAATCGGGAGGGCAGACGGCAGGAGGCGCAGAGAGCAGAGCCCGGCCCCAGGCTGCTGGGATGGCCCCCGCTCAGGGTCAGGCCCCCCAGGACCTCCCCGGGGCTTTGGAGCGGCTTTTCTCCGCGCCTGCTCCTGGCTTCGGGCCTGTCTGTCTACCCGCCACCAGCGAGCAGAGACGGGCCTGCTGGTCTGGGGAGCTGCGGCCCCTTGGAGAGCCCCCGCGTTCCCCAGGGCGGGGGTCCCCGACGCCGCCTGCCCCCGAGGGGAAGGCTCCCCCGACAGGCCCCGCATCTTCCCTCTTGCTCCAGGACTCGGTCTACATCTTCCGGGAGAACGCCTTGCCACCCTACCGACAGATGTTCTACCAGCTGTGTGACCTGAACGTGGAGGAGTACGTACACGAGGGCCAGGGAGCCGGCGTGGGGCCAGGTGGGGGGTCAGGGCTGGGAACAGCCCGGGGACCACAGAGTTCCCTGCGAGGCCTCCCCCGCTCTCAGCCCTCGTCTCTCGGCCTGAAGGCTGCCCGCCCTGGGACTTTGGTGGTGCCCAGAGAGTCCTCTGTCGGCACACAAGGCCCTTGGGAGTGCCTTCCGAGATCCACCATGGGCCACACCTCTGAGCAGCAGCTGTCTGGTGTCCCCGGCACAGTGTGGCTGGCCACGGACATGCCTGCTGTGGGGTCTTTGCCTCCCCCACTGCCCATGTGGGAGTCACGGAACAGCTCCCGGTCCTTCGGAACCAACCAGAATCCCAGAAATCTTTAATCTGGTTGCTCTTAGTGATGTTTAAATGCAGCATGGAGTCTGATGAAAGCGGGGACACCCCAGGAAAATGGGGGTGCACCCCCGCTCTGTGGGCAGTGTGCGGCTTGGGGAGCACACAGGCGAGGGACCCCGGTGTTTCCGGAGTCCTTGAGCGCCGCGTCCGTCCCTCCGACGCTGCTCTAAGTGCTGTCTTCTGAGCACAGCCGCCCCGGCTCGCTGCCCGTGGCCCCTGCGGCAGGAGGCTGCCCTGGAACCAGTGTCCCCACCCCCAGGTTGCAGAAGATCATTCACCGCAACGACGGGGTCGAGGAGACCTGCACGGAGCGGGACGGCTGGTGCCTCCCCAAGACCAGCGACGACCTGAGGAACGCCATGTCCCTCATGATCCGGCAGACCATCCGCGCCAAGAGGCCCGGTGAGAGCCCCGGGCTGAGGGCAGGGCCCGGGGCTGAGGGCAGGGCCCGGGCCCGCGGCGGGGACGGGCAGTGTCCCCGCTGTGCCGAGGCGGCCCATCGCACCCCAGCGCTGCTGGAGGTGGGGCCTTGTGAGCCAGGACTCGGCCCCGGAGCCCTGGCCCCTGGCCGCCCGCTGCCGTTCGGGGCTTCCACTTTATGCCTTGATACCTTCCTGCCCCTCCAGCTGCGCGTGTGTGCAGCCTGCCTGTCCTCCCCCGGGGAGGCAGGGGCCGTGGGAGCCGGAGCTGGTCGCCTGCCCAGCCTGCCCGGGTGGGCGCGGGGGCCGGGGTACAAAGGGGAGTGAGCGGTTGCTGGGCCGGGGTTCTGATAAGGCTGGGGTGGGGGAGGGAAGGCAGGGGGCTCCTCCCCAGCCCGCATGGCCCCGCGCGCTGGTGGGGGCGCGGGTGCCCAGCCTCATCCGGAAGAGGGCCCCTCAACGATTGCCCTGGGGCCACGGGCCCTTCCTCACACACAGAGTGTTGTGCGTGGTCCTGGGGAGTCGCTGGGCCCAGGAAGCTGCCTGAGGCACCTCAGGGGAAGGGGTTTGCAAAGCCGTCAGCCTCTGCATCCCCGGGCGGGCCCAGGTCCCCGAGCCCGCGAGCCCGCGAGCCCGTTCTGGGTCTCAGGGCCTGTCTCCCGGCTCCAGCTCTCTTCTCCAGCCCGGCCAAGGCCGACGAAGACGGAGGGAAGGAGCCGGCGACGTACGAGTCCGGGGAGGACGAGGAGGAGGACGAAGAGGAGGAGGAGGAGGAGGACTTCAAGCCGTCCGACGGGAGTGAGAACGAGATGGAGACGGAGATGCTGGACTACGTCTGACACGGCGCGCAGTCGCCGGAGCGGCCCATGAGGCCCCTCCGCGGGGAGCTGGGGCCCCAGCCCTGGGAGCCGCTGACCCCGGCCTGCCTGTGACCTGCCGCTCAGGCCTGCCGTCCGGCCCTGGCTGCATGGGGACGTTCCCGAAGGCTGTGCCCTGGCTCCTGCCTCCGGGAGCCAGCCCCGTGTCCGCCTGGCCGAGCCCAGCAAGGCTGGAGGGGGAGCTCTGCAGCTCGGGCGGGGGGTCAGGCTCGGCCTGGGTCTCGTGACTGGCGGCAAGGACAGTGCCAGGAGCCCGGTCTGTGGTCACAGATGGCAGGAGATGTCCTTGGGTCTGGATCCCGCCCTTTTGGGGTGGCCTGGCAAAGACCAGGCCTGCTGGAACTGTCCTCATTAAATACATTTCCCCGGCAGATCTGGTGTCAGAGCTCGCGCCGGGGGCTTGGGCTCCTGCTGCTGGGCCATCACCTGTCCTGCAGTGATTCCTTCTGTGACCCCGAGGGGCAATACTGGGACAGTCGAGAACAGGCCTAATGCTGCTTGCCAGGTGGGTGGGGCGAGAGCCACCAGGGGTCGCCGCAGCCCCGCCCCGCCCCAGGGGTCCCACAGCCTCGCGTTCACCCCCTACTGCTCCAGACCATGGTCTCACGGCTCACGTGGACGCAGCCCCTGTCCCCCCGCGGCTGCCTGGAGTGCGGGCAGCTGCCGCGAGGGGCCCCGGGAGCCCTCCCAGGACAGACCAGGAGCCCTGGGGCCTGCAGGCTTAAGCGCCTGCCTTGCAGAGGAGCTGGCCAGGCTGCTGCCCAGCGGCCCCATTCCCTGCTGCTGGGGATGAGGCTCAGCTGGCATGGCCAGAAGCAGCCCTTCCCCAAGGCCTGAGGCCCCAGGCCCGCGCTCCCCTCCAAGGCCTCTGCTCTCTGCTGTGCGTCTCAGTGGGGCCTCTCCCACCTCTGAGCTGGGCCCCGGACCCCAAACCTCAGAGGGGGAGGGTGTAGGCTCTGGTGCCCGTCTCCCAGGAGCCACCACAACCCCTGCACAGACCTGAGGAAGGTGGGGCGGGCCGCCAGCACCCACTCCGCCACCAGGCCCCACCCCGCGCGGACTCGGCTGACAGCTGCCCAGTTCCTAGAGGCCACATCCCCAAAGTACGTGACGGGTCCCTAGTTAGAAACCTAAGTATTGTGCTTACACCCCCCCCCCCCCCCCCCCGCTTCTTTCAAAGATTTCTGTTGTGGAAAATACCAAATAGCTACAGAAATACTGAGTATTGTATAAGTCCCCATTACACGGCCTCAGCAGTTACTACATTTGCCAAACTCGTTGCCTCTTCCTTTGTTTGGCTTCGTATCAGTGCCTTCCTGGAGTGTTCTAAGGAAGTCCCGCCCCCCGGGACGAACCTCGCTCGTCAGGACTTGCCCCGCAGGCCGGTGCTGCCGCCCCGCCTGACGCTTCAACAGTGACTCCGGTTCAAGGCCTGTTCCCAAGCAGTGCGCCCATCTGCTGGGGGCACAAAGTCCGCGTGGCCCCTCCTGGGACGGGCCTTGACCGGCAGGTGCCGGTGTTGTCCCCTCACCTGTCACTCTTGCGGCCGTCAGCAGCCGCGCTGTTTGCCTGGACCTGAGTGTCCTTGGGCTGCCAACGAGTGACCCGGAGTGCGGCTGCCCCCACGTTTGCTGGCTGGGAGGATTCTTCCTCCGGCAGCTCAGGCCATCGGGCTTCCCCGAAACCACGTGCCAGCCGAGCAGGAAGACGCCTCTCTCCCCGTGGCCAGCTCTCAGAGGGAGGACTTGGCACCCGAGCCAATGGTGACCGTGGGGTTTTTTCTTTTTTTTTAGCTTTGTAATGACCCCTAAAATCTGCCTGAAACCATCGCATCCATGCTTTTTGATGCCCAGCGTGTCCCGTCTCTGGCCCGAGAGTGGCCCCCACTGCCTCCCACGACTGACGCAACCTCTGGCCCTTGGTGCCTCCCTGCGCCACGGCGGGCCCGATGGCCCAGGCTCCTGCCTGCCTGTCCTGCCCCGGACGCACCCCTCCCTTGGCGTGGAAATGGTGTTCGGGGCCCCAACCTGGGCACCGGGGGGCCGCTGCCCCTGGGTTTCCTCGGTTTCAAATGCTTTCGAGGGCACACAGCTGGGGAATATCTTTCTTTTTTTAACAACAAAGTAAATTATAAGTTTATACAGACAGCTCCCAATTAAAGCGTAGAATTACAGGATTTCTCAGATCTTACTATAGACAGGGTGGAGCAAAAATAGGTTTACGGTTCGTACGAAAAACACTACAATTATTAAACAATAATACAAGAGTGAATTCTGTTGTGTACTCACACGGTAAACTTTCTGCCCACCCTGCCTCGAAGATGCGTCTCCAGACCACACCACTGTGGCTGGCGGCACCCGGGTGGGGCCTGCGTCTGTCTGATCGCAGCGGCCGCCTCGTGCGGTATCAGCCCAGGTGGGCTGACCGCACAGAATGCGCTCCAACCTGGGAAAAACTTCCTAAGTATTTGCCTAAGTTCTATGCGCCATTAAATCAATGGGGTGAGGGTTCTCCTTTGTCAATCACATCAATTCAGAACTTCCTACTTCCAGCCTTATTACCCAAATTGTCTTAAGACTTTTGGGGAACCCTTAGGCCCTCCAAGCACTCAATAATCATAGCCATGGGGTCTTCCCGCAGAAAAATGTGCAAACACACAAAAATGTGTCTGGTTCCAGGGGCACCGCGGGCCCGCCCTTGAACGTCTGGCAGGTCCAGAAAACTCCCACCACCTCACGTCAGTTCCCGGTTCACTGCGTTACCCTCATTCGATTCAAAAACTCAGGAAAAATCTAACCATGTGCCCATGTTATACGTTGATAACGCAGAAGACAGCTGTTTTTATTAAATCAACATGTGAACTTGAAAAACACTTGGGTTAGTTCACTCACACCTGGGACTTGAGGCGTCCTCGGTTTACGGACCTGCTCGTTCCTCTCCAAGCCGATTGGAATAGAGCCCCCAAGGGGTTTTATAAATGACTTTGGTGAGAGGGTCGGAAGTGGGAAAATACCACACGTACACAGCGCACAGACCTGCCTGCGCACGCAGACACGAGTCAGCAAAACACACACACTCCTCGCTGTGTCTCCACTTCCCGCTTTATCCAGATTATGTGTCTGGCAGCGGCACAAGCTGAGGTTACCTGCTCACCGGCATTTGGAGGAGACTTTGAGGACTTCCCTTTGCCCCAGTGTCCCACCTTCCGGAGGCCGTGGGCTGAACTCCAGCAGCTATCACGGTGTCTCCAAAGCCACCCGAGCGACCCAAACATGGGCATTGTTTCTGAACAGCCTTTGTCCCTTCTCAGCCTCAGGCAGTTGCTGTCAGGGGTCCCTGAGCCCCTTAAGGGCCCTTGAAGGAGGCAGGCAAGAGGTGGAAAGTTCAACCGAAGGAGGGGCTGCTGTGGGAGGGGAGGGCCCGGCAGGGACAGCCCCCCTGTTGTTAACTAAGGGCACTGTTACACTGACAGGCAGGGAAAACGTGGCTCCAAAGAGAAGCTTAAGGCTCTCACCCAGCCTCTTACAGAGACCACCAGGGTCGCTCACGGAGCCTCTACGCAGAAGCTTGAGAACCGAAACCTGTCCTTCCCACGCCTCCGTGGACGGCCACCCAGCGCAGGGGCTCAGGAGCCCGGCTCGCCAGTGGCTCCCCAATCGGTCAGGCGTGAGGACGGGGCCCGCGGCGGTGTCCACGCGGGGCCACGGTGAGAGGTCCGAGAGCCAGTGATGACTCAGAGCTTCACTGAGTCACAGCACTGTAATCGTCCCCGGAAAACCAGCGCCGGACAGTAGTTAAAGTGGCTGAGCCAGACCTTGCTCAGGACTCCTGCGGCGCGGGGAAGAGGCCTCCGCGGACACACTCGGCGCTCCGGAGTGTGGGCAAGTGGGAGCCGCAGCCGAGGGGCGGGGGCGAGGATGGACAACTGCTAACGGGGGCTCAGAGGTGAGGGTCGCTGGGGCCAGGCTGACCTAATGGGATTCTTGCTGATGACCCGTCGGGGCGATCAGGCACCTCCAGGTGATGGTGTAGAGTGAGGACCCTGATCAGCGATGGAGGGCCGGGTTTCTAGCCAGACCCACGCCTCAGGGTTCTTTCTGAAACTGGCCAGTGCAGAGCTACCTTGTTGAAAAAGAGCTCAGGGAAGCCACGTAGAGTTTGGTCAAGGAGAGAATTTTTGTCAGATCTCAGATGACAGCCACATCTCTTTTGGGTGAAATGAATGCCCTTAAAGTCAGCTCTCTAAAGCGAGATTAATTTAGGAACTCGTGCAGCTTGGCTAAGAAGCCAGCTGGCGATTTTCCGTGTTGGTTGGACAACGCTCGCCTCTTCCGGGTGTTTCTGGGAAGGCCACCCTATTTGTTGTCGCCTGCTCTGTGCAGGACCACGTGGGCCCCTTATCGTTAAATAAGTGATCCCCCCGTATCGTTCAAACGGGGAGCTCTGCCGCCTCCGTCCCCCTACAAACAACACTGCGCTGCCCGCCCCCACGCCCACAGGGCCCCTCCCCCGTGTTCAGAATTCCTTCCTTTAGGACAAGCTCTCCGAATCGCAGCGGCCGGAAAACAGGCACGTTAGCAAGCGCGCTTCCTGGCCTCTTGCAGCATCCCCTCAGCCCCTGCTCCCAGCTCAGCCACGCCCGCCCGGCCCCCGGGTCCCCACCCCCCTGTCCTAACCCCTTCCCACCCACATCGCACGAGCCCGGGGCGCTGGACCAGCCGGGCAGACGGAGAGGGGGACAGGCGGGCAGGTGTGCTGGTGACAGCCGCAGGCTTGGCCTACGCTGGCTGTGGCCTGTGTTAAAAGTGCTGCCTCCTGGGCAGCAAGAAGGCTGTCCAGGCCGGGGCTGAGGGGCTGTCGTCCTGGGCGGGCCCTGGCTGTCCCCTGGCTCCCGAACACACCCCCTCACAGGGGACGGCTGTGCGGCCAAGCTCTGCGAAGGCGAGGGCCTTGGCCTTTGTCCGTGGTGGCCTCTCACTTTTTAATAACCTCCTCTGGTCACCAAAGATGCTCTCACTGAAGCCCAGCTGTGTCCTCTCTCACTGCCGTCTCACGCTCTGGGCTCTGTTTTTTCCGTCTCTCTGGCCCCGTGTCTCTGGCCCTCTGCCACTCTGTCTCTCCGTGGCATGCCCCAGGGTCGTGGGTGCATTTCTGTAGCCAGGACTTCCTTTTTCTCCAGGAAGCCCGCCAGGCTGGGCTGTGGTCCGCTCTCCTGACGCTGTGTCCCTCTGAGCCCCGGCCCTCCCCTCCCGGGACTGCTCTCGCCAAACGTGAGGCCCTCCCCACACCCTGAGGGCAGGGTCGCCCTGTGCTGCTCGGGGTCCCTGCACCAGCTCAGACCACACACAGTGGGCCCTCGGAATCAAGGCTCAGCGACCCAGGACGCCCAGTGGCTCAGAGCCACCTCTGTCCCAGAAGTCACACTCCCTGTCCCCCTATAAACATCCTTTCTGAGCTCGGGGGTTCAGGGGCAGGGGGTCAGGCAGGGCATGGAGACGAAGCCCACCGACCGCTCTGAGGGTGGGCCAAGCTCTTGCGAACGAGCCAGGGTACAGGGCACTGTGCACCCAGCCTGGCCCCACCCCTGCCGCCCCAGCCTGTGCCACCTGCCTCTGTTCCCAGTAGCTGCCCCGGCGCACTGTGGGCACCAGGCACCCAGTAACAGCCACCCCTGTACCCACGCGTGAGTCTGTGTGCACAGGCACCTGTGTGACCTTGGCCCAGCTGGAAATGGCAGCTGTCTCTTGTCCCCAGGCACACCACCTGGATGGTGGCCAGCCTGGAGGAAGGGACAGGGGCAGGAGGAGGGGAAAGAGACCCTCCACAGGCAGCTGCCAACTCAGGCTCCCAGCTGGCTCCAGCCCCATAAATACCTGCGATCTGGAGCCAGGGCCACCCTAAAGCAGGCACACACCATGGGGCGCCTGGAGCTGCTGGTTTTGGGCTTTGCCTGCTGCCTGGCAGCAGTGAGCTCGGCAAAGGTAAGCGAGGCCCTGTGGAGGCGGCAGGGCCCCCGTCCTCCGCCACACACACCTGGGAACCGGGGACAGCACCGTGGAGGGCAGACAGACAAATGAGTCCCTGGCAGCTCTGAGAGAGCCAACGGCTCTCCAGGGGCTCCTCGTGCTGGGCGCGTCCTTGTTCTCACGGTAACGTGGGTGCAGACCAAGTACAGGGTGCCCAGTTTAAGTGGGCTTCACAATCAGCGAATGGTTTGGGGTACAGGTATGTGGCACACAGTATGTGGGAGACACGCATGCTAAAAACAATGTTCACTGTTTGTCCGAAAGTCAAATGTAAGCAGGCGTCCTGCCTGTTCAGTTGCTGAATCTGGCAACGGACCCACAACAGCCCTCCCTCTGGCTGCTTCCTCTCTCCAGGGAGGGCGATGGTGTCCCTTTTCATAGAGGGAGACGGGGGCACTGGGCAGGCCAGCAATTTGCCTGACATCGCGCAGCCCCCAGTGTCTGTACTGGGGTCTGGGACTCAGTCTGGCTGCCAGCCTCACCTCCTTCTCCTGGGGGGCTACTCCCACCGGCTGGCTCGTGACCGGGGCCCCTCCAGGGTGAGTCGGGAGGCCTCCGGGGCACCTCTAGAATCTCTTTCCTCATCGCCCTCCCACGGGTGTGAGGGACAGGGCAGGCCAAACGCTTCTAGGACAGGAAGCCCCATAGCCCCACACGGGCTTAACTAGGGGGCCCCAGTACCTACCAGGCTGCTCCCCTCCCCACGCCCGCCCTGCACCCTCGTCCCTGCTCTCCTATCCCTGCTGCCCTGGGACCGGGCCCTGGACCCTGGGGGTTCCGAGACCAGTCCCTCTGCCACAATGAGGCGGTCCTTCTTTCGGCAAGGGAGGCCTTTCCTTTCCGGGTGCTAAAAGGACCTAGTTTTCTCCACGTTGCTCCAGCAGCCAGCGCCACCTCCCCCCACATGAACAGGGTACCCCTGCCCTTGGCGCTCCCCACTGGGGCCCTGGGGTGGGGCAACAACCTCGGTCATACCGCCCCCAGCAACCAGGCAGGCTGGTCAGGAAAGGTGCCTGGAGGTGAGAGAGAGACACAGAGACCAGGCCTATTCCTGCCGAGGAGCCGGGCCCCAGCCCCGAGCCCCTGGGGCGGCTGCTTCCGGCCCCTCCCCCTCCCGGGCTCTGGCACAGCAGGGCCGGTGGCTGTTTTGCCCGCACCCACCAGGAACCCAGCACAGGTGAGAGCCGGGGAGCTGGGACCCACCACCCCTGCCCTGCCGGGGTCGGCGGCGGGGCGTGGGGCGAGCGTGGCACTGGCAGGGGAGACGAGGCTGGCTCTGATCAGGCAGCCGCTCCCCACAGGGACGAGGGGCAGAGGAGCCCCAGCCCCCAGGCCGCCTACACCGGGTGAGAGGGCTGGGTGCACAGCAGGCGGTCTGATGGCCAGGGGGTGGGGGGCAGAGGAGAAAGAAGAGCCCCCACTCAAGGAGCTCACAGCCAGGCACGAAGTGTCTCCCGCTGCCAGCACCTGGACCAGCTGGCGGGCAGAGGACACTGCTGTCACCCACCTCCCAGATGGGGAAGCTGAGGCTCTTGACCACAGCCAGGCCAGAGCCCCAACCCCCGACTGCCTCCCCTGCCCTGTGGGAAGGGCTCCCCGTGCGGGAAAGCACCAGGTGAAGCGGCTCCTTCTGAGATTCCGGGGCAGGACCCCCGGGGCCGGGCAGAAGGCAGCAGCTGCGCCTTTAGGAGTGAGGGCACCTAGGGGTCCTGGTCTCAGGTGCAGGTTGGCCCCTCCTTGAACCCAACTCTGGGCCCCCTGACCTGCCTGCCTCTCACCCCAGCTGGGTGCCGTGTACACGGAAGGAGGCTTCGTGGAAGGCGTCAACAAGAAGCTCGGCCTCTTGGGCAGCTCTGTCGACATCTTCAAGGGCATCCCCTTTGCTGCTGCCCCCAAGGCCCTGGAGAACCCCCAGCGACACCCCGGCTGGCAAGGTGCAAGAGGGCGGTGCGGGCAGGCCCTGCGGCGGGGGCGGCGGGGGCGGGGCCGCCATCCTCACGCCAGCCCCTCTGGCCTCCTACAGGGACCCTGAAGGCCAAGGACTACAAGAAGCGATGCCTCCAAGCCACCATCACCCAGGACAACACCTACGGGTCTGAGGACTGCCTCTACCTCAACATCTGGGTCCCCCAGGGCAAGAAGGAAGGTGCGCGCAGCCCCACTCTGTGCCCTCCAGCCCCCTGAACCCAGCGGGGAGTGCCCTGGCCCTCGGCTGTGCCTGGGGCTCCGGGGCCGCACGTCCCTGGAATCAGCCCCCGGAGAGGAGGGCGGGGAGGGCGCCTGGGGTCACCGGGCCTGCTCTCCTGCCTCAGTCTCTCGGAACCTGCCTGTCATGATCTGGATCTACGGAGGTGCCTTCCTCATGGGGTCGGGCCATGGGGCCAACTTCCTCAAGAACTACCTGTACGATGGGGAGGAGATAGCCACCCGGGGCAACGTCATCGTGGTCAACTTCAACTACCGCGTCGGGCCCCTGGGCTTCCTCAGCACCGGGGACTCCAACCTGCCAGGTGTGCTGGGCGCCCTGGGCACGGGCACGGGGGAGCCGGCAGGGATGCCCCTCAGCGTCCCGCAATCCCAGACGTCTCCTGACAGGCCCCGAAAGGGCCCAGAATTCTATAGGCTGAGCCAGGAAGCTAGAGGTGGACCACGAGACACAGGGGCCCCTTGGCAGCTGCAGGGAAAGAGAAGAGGGTGCCACCCAGACAGACAGAGCCTCAGAGAGGGACCAGGGGGCAGAGACAGGGAGCCGAGGGAAAGGGACAGAAGATGAGACATTGAGGTAGCGACTCACAAGTCACAGAAGCTGCAGGACAGACAAGAGGGCCCATGGCCTCCTGCTCCTAGTCCCCTGTCCGAACCCCCCCACCCCTTCCAACACCCCATTCCACCCGCCTCCCTGGGAGCCGCCCTCACCCCACCGCAGTCCCCGCCCAAGGTCCCTGATGCAGGCCCCGCCCCCCGCCCAGGTAACTACGGCCTTCGAGATCAGCACATGGCCATCGCCTGGGTGAAGAGGAACATCGCGGCCTTCGGGGGGGACCCCAACAACATCACCATCTTCGGGGAATCCGCTGGAGGCGCCAGTGTCTCTCTGCAGGTCTGGAGAGCCCGGGAAGGGCGGGCCCTCCGCTGAGGGGGACGGGGGGAGCCCGTGGGGACCGGGAGGCGCTCAGGGCTGGAGCTGACGCGCGGGCCGCCCTCCGCGGAGGAGCCGGGGCGGGCAGGGGCGGCGGGGCCGTGGTGACAGGGCCTCTGTGTGTTGCAGACCCTCTCTCCCTACAACAAGGGCCTCATCCGGCGAGCCATCAGCCAGAGCGGCGTGGCACTGAGCCCCTGGGCCATCCAGAAGAACCCTCTCTTCTGGGCCAAAAGGGTAAAGAGGAGCTTTGGTGGGTGGGGGAGGGGCTCGCTTTAGAGGCTGGGGGGAGAGATGTCCTCCTTTCCACTCTCTGCCCCGCCCCCCTCCCCGGCCCTCTGCCCCAGCGCTGGCCTCACCCACCTGCCTCCCCGCGACCCCTAGATCGCCAAGAAGGTGGGCTGCCCTCTGGACGATACCGCCAGGATGGCCAAGTGTCTGAAGGTCACCGACCCCCGTGCCCTGACGATGGCCTATAAGATGCCCCTGGCAGGCATGGACTGTGAGTAGGGGGTCCACGTGGGGGGTGGGCCCTGCTCCTGAAGAGAACAGGAAGTGCCGGGCCTCGGGCCTGACCCTGTCACCAGCTTGCTGGCGTCCCTAGGCCGCTCCAGGCCGCCACCACCCTTCAGAGCCTCACAACCCCCGCTGGCTGCGAGGAGGGGCCGTTCCTTCCTCTTATCCTCCGTGGGTCATGACCCCTTTGAGAAGCTGATGAACCTTTGCCCCTCCCCCCCAAGAATGCTCACGTACATGGTTGCTGACACGCAATCCTAGGGACCCCAGGCTGAGAGCCTTTGCACCGGACGACTGATCATCCTTCCCTCCACTCACTTATTCAGCAAACCCCAGCTGAACACCTGCTGTGGCGTTTGGCCCTCCCGGCTCTGCCCCTCTGTCCCCCAGGAGGGCCGGGGACCCCATCAGAAAAGGCCTCAGTGTTGGCGTCTTCAGCCCAGGAGGCTGCGGTTCTCTCCTGCTCATTCTAAGGCCAAGTCAGGGGCCCCTCATTTGCGTCCCACTAAAGCCACAAGCGCCAGGCAGGCGGAACCAAGGCAAACGACGTGGGCTGAAATGCAAACAAACCGACCGTTTCCTCCGCGGAAGGAAGCCCGGGCAGGGCCTGGTGGCGGCTGGCGCCCACGGGCCTGGGGCCAGGCCTGCGGTTCTCCTGGGGTGGTCCAGGGTCTGCAGGGCGGTGCCAGCCTGGCGCGGGGTCCGGCTCACGGACAGGAAGGGAGCCCCCCCATCTCCCCCAGCCCCCCAGTTGCTCCTGGTCGCCCTCCTCCCGACTGCGGCCCAGCGAGGAGAGAGGGAGGGGACAGAGACTTCCCTGCTGTGAGGGGACAGCCGCGGCCTCTAGCCCGGGGGTTCTCAGCCGGCACGAGTTTGCCCCCGGGATCACGTGGCAGAGTCTGGACGGCTGTCAAACTAGGGAGGGTGCTGTTGGCACCCAGCGGCGGGGGTTGGGGGGCAGGGACGCTGCTCAACACCCGCGGGACGGCCCCGCGACCTAGAATTACCCTGCCCCCGTGCCCGTGTGACAGACTGAGGCCCGGGGTCCCGATCGGAGGCAGCAGGACACCCCGTCTTGGCCGGGGGACAAGCAGGGGGCTCTGGAAGGTGTGAGCACCTGCTGCTCTCCACGCAGACCCCATGTTGCACTACCTGGGCTTCCTCCCTGTCGTCGACGGAGACTTCATCCCCGATGACCCCATCAACCTGTTCGCCAACGCGGCCGACATCGACTACATCGCTGGCACCAACAACATGGACGGCCACATCTTTTCCACCATCGACATGCCAGCCATCGAGAAGGACAAGGAGAAAGTCACGGAGTGAGTAGGGCGCAGGGCCCAGGGGGAGGCCTCCGCTGAGCGAGGCGGTCGGCACGCCTGTGTCGGGGCCCCTGCGGCGGCCCCTGGGGGTGGGGAGATTCCCTTCCCACTGGACCCGGGCGGAGGGTCCCGGACCGGCTCTGTCCCTGCAGCGAGGACTTCTTCAAGCTGGTCAGCGGGCTCACCATCACCAAGGGGCGCAAGGGGGCCGATGCCACCTTTGATTTCTACACTGAGCCCTGGGCCCGAGACGCGTCCCAGGAGGCCAAGAAGAAGACGGTCGTGGACTTCGAGACTGACATCCTCTTCCTGATGCCCACGAAGACCGCCCTGGCCCGGCACAGAGCCAACGCCAAGTGAGAACCGGGGCGGGGGAGGCCCGCCGGGGGCACGTGCCTGCCCACCAAGGCCTCCCAGGGTGGGGAGGGCGGCCCCCAGGGGTCTGGGAGGCCTGGGGCAGCTGTGGCTGGGCCTCTAGGAGGGTTTGCCCAGGCCTGGCAAGGCTTGAGGGGGCCCCTCCTCGCCTTCTGGCCTCGGGGCGGGGGATGGGGCCACTTTACACAACCTCCCTCCGCCCCGGGCCTCCTCTGCGAAGCTCGCAGGTCTTCTGCCCACTCTACCCTGCCACAGCCACTGCGGTGGGTTTCGGCTGTGCCGACTTTCCCGACACCTCTGGCCTGCGGCCACACTGTGCGCCTCTACACAGTAAGAGCCGATGAAAATAAAAAGGAAAAGGGAATGCTTAAAAAGTAGAAAGATGAAATTAGACCCAGAGGTCCAGGACAAGAGCTTTGCAGCGCTTAAGTAATAAATTCAGCTCTGAGCTTCCCATCAGCCAACAAGGAACCCCCGAGAGCAGACACCCTATCCCATCAAATGACAAGTACACATTCACTTGCAGAGAAACAAGTCTTTCTTGATACTGAATGATTGGAGGGAGACTCCTCTACGTTTTGTGGAGGTGAAGCAGACAAACAACTGAACTCGTAGAACCCACAAACCCGTGAACTTGGGCCACTGCTTTGCCTTCCCCACGTGTAGCGATCCAGGTTCTTCATGAGTCTGGGGACAGTCGGCCCTTCCCCGGGGCCCCCGCGGCACCCCTCCAGGCCCGGCTCTGGGCCAGGCAGCCCGGGCGAGCCCCGTGCCAACCTGGGCGGTCCCCCTCCCCTCCCAGGAGCGCCAAGACCTACAGCTACCTGTTCTCCCATCCCTCTCGGATGCCTGTCTACCCCGACTGGGTGGGGGCCGACCACGCGGACGACATCCAGTACGTCTTTGGGAAGCCCCTCAGCACCCCCCTGGGCTACCGGGCCCAGGACAGGACTGTCTCCAAGGCCATGATCGCCTATTGGACCAACTTCGCCAGAACTGGGTAAGGCGGGCGAGGGAACCTGGGCCTCCCGCCACCTGGGCCCTCCACGTGCCCAGGTCCCGATCCCTGTCCCCCCGCGTGCTTACGCTGGGCCTCCATTGGCACCCCCACGGGTGCGTGAGGGAAATTGCTGCTGGCTGTGCCCCAGGACACACACGTGCCCGGCCAGTGCCCAGGACACAAGGCGCCTGAGGGTCAGGTCAGCACAGAGGGCAGAGGGCTGCCCGCGCAAGCCGGGGCCAAGCCGGGCTGGGCTCAGGTCCCCAGCCCCCGGGAGGCCTCAGGCACCACACAGCCTTTTTTTCTCACTCTGCAGGGACCCCAACATGGGCCACTTGGCTGTCCCCACACATTGGGACCCCTACACCCTGGAGAATGGCGAGTACCTGGAGATCAACAAAAACATAGATGACAAGTCCATGAAGCAGCACCTGAGGAGCAACTACCTGCAGTACTGGACCCTGACCTACCAGGAACTGCCCACAGTCACCGAGGATGGGACCGCGCCCGCGCCCCCGACGGACGACTCCGAGGCCGCGCCCGCGCCCCCCACGGACTCCGAGGCCGCCCCCGTGCCCCCCACGGACGACTCCGAGGCCGCGCCCGCGCCCCCCACGGACGACTCTGAGGCCGCCCCCGTGCCCCCTTCGGGTGACTCTGAGGAACCTCAGATGCCTGCAGTCATCGGCTTCTAATGTCCTTGGCCCCAGGAGGCCATAGGGTGGGACCCCAGAGAGCCCGCCTTCCTCCCAAGCTCTTCTGGAATAAAGCCTTCTCTCTCTCTCCGCCTGGAGTCCTTCTTTGCTCTCAGGACCTCGGTTGCTGGTGGCCCGGGGCCCGATGCACCCGGGTCCCTGTCAGCCTCCAGCTTAGGACGTGCACCGCGCCAGCCTCATTTCAGAGGAGGCAACAGGGTCAGGGAAGGGCCAGAGCCAGGGCTGGGGCTGGGCTTACCCCTCCTGACCTCACCATGGCCCCGTGAGCTGGGCGCTGTGAACCCCCTTTTAGGCCTTTATAGGTTTTTTGAGAGAAACAAGCCCCCAAGCGGGGTCACGTGCCCCGGGCCACCAGAGCAAGGACTCAAACCTGGGCCTGAGACTCCAAAGCTCACAATGGTTGAGGGGTGCGTGTGTGTGACTGTCCAGCAGGGGTGAGGGCTCAGAGAAGGTTCTGGAATCCTGAGCGGCTCATCCAATGGCTGCGTGTACGGGGACACAGCAGCAGGGGACCCACCGGCCACCCCCTTTCCCTCCAGCCCACTGGTGGGATACCGAGGCCTGGGGAGCCGCGTCCTGTGGCCCGGGCCGCAGAGTGACGCAGGGGCACCCGGGCTGCCCCGGGCTGCCGGGCTCGGTCAAGGACCCTCACACGTGAAGAGGGGCTTCCTGGTCAAAGACCGCGGGGGATGGACGCTCACCGAGTGCAGGCCTCTCCCAGCGACCGTCGCTCTCGACAAGTGGAGGCGCCAGGACGCCCCCGCGCTCCCGTCCTCCCACGGGACGACGCACGCGCCTCCTCCCAGCGCCTCCACCTGTGTGGCCTGCGCTCTGGAGCCTCCTGCGCCGCAAGAGGGTCCCTGTGGATCCCAGTGCCTCCTTCTGGCCCGGGGACCTGGCCCTTCTCCCCGTGCCGAGGAAAGCAGCCCTGCTGCCGGTCGCCTAGGAAGTCACGTCCCTGCTTGGCTCGGCCGCACCAGAACGGCTCGTGGTGTCGGGACCCGGGCCTGGGCTCTGTCCCGGGGTGCCCGGAGGCCTCCCTGGTGGAGGCGAGCCCTCTGAGCCCCATAGGTCTGGGTGACAACGGCAGCCACTGGAGTAATGCGGGGTGGCCCACAGTCCACCTGGCTCTGCCCTTCCATGGCTCACCTTTCAGCCTTCCCCATGAGATGGTTCAAACCCCCCCCCGGCTTCCCGTGACCCAGCCACAGCCCAGGCTTGGGCGCTGCCTGCTCCAAGGGCTCCAGCCCTTCTACCCATTAGGATCGGCGGGTACCAGAGCGACGGAAATCTACAAATTCCGCATGGGTGGGCAACAGAAACCCCAGAACAAGCCGAAACTCTTGCCTCCGCCCCCCGCAAAAGGCAGCCACGTCCTGTGTCAGGAGTTGGTCCTTGCAGCTGTTATTTAAAAATCAGGGTAAAATAGACACAACATATAACATGCTAACTTAACTATGTTTTTTAGGGTGACAACAAACTTTTTAAATATATATTTTTATATATACATATACATACAGTCACATTCCAATGTGGCAGATACCCATTCTTCGACTGGGAGGCGGCCCCCAGGCTCCAGGAGACCCTCCTGAGACCACCTAGGCCGCGCAGCCTTCCCCGATGACACCCAGTGGGGACGCTTCAATCAGACAAGCGGGAAGGGGCAGGGCGCACCTCGCGGCGGGTCCCGTCTGGGGCCTCACGTAGGCCAGCGCTCGGCTGCGTCCCCTTCATCAGCTGCTCACCTGCACAGCCAACTCCGTCAACGTATTGCCCATCCGCTCACGGACGTCCAGGTACTTGGAGACACACGGGCCCAGGCCACAGACTCGCCCTCGGGCAGGTCTGCGTCCTTGCAGTGAGGAGGCACGCGTTTCCGGTGGCAGGCATTTGTCATTCTGTTGTGCGTATCAGCCGCCATTTCTACCCCCAGCTCCGCTGCCAGCTGCCGGGCCCTGAGCGGATCTGGAGACCTCCTTCCGATCTCCTAGCCCACGGCCTGGAGCCGGTCACAGTGCCCCCGGTGTCTAACTCAGCTGAGCACAATTCAGTGGCACTAATGGCATCCACACTCTTGTGCAACCACAACTACCATCTCGTTCCCAAAGTTTTCATCACCCCAACCAGAAACTTCGTGCCCATTCAGCAGTAGCTGCCCCTCCGCCCCCCGCCCCGTTCATCGATTCTACTTCCCGTCTCGATCAGTTTGTCTGTTCTAGGTATTTCTCTAAGCGGAAGCCCGTGTTCAGGGCCCATCCCTGTGGCAGCGTGCATCAGAGCTCCGCTTCTCTTCGTGCCTGAGCAGCGCTCCAGCGTGTCGCTGACAACGGCGCCCTGTGCCCTTAGCATCCCTTCTCTTCCTGCAAAGTCGGCAGTCACTCCACACCGAGGGCCCTGAGGGCCGGGCCATGGTGGGCGATTTCAGTGTCTGGGGTGGCCCGTCGAGTTGTTTTCCCGGGAACGAGCCCTCGTTTCCTGTGCCGAGCGATGGGCTGAGAACTGGGTGCTGGGCGTTACAGTGTGGAAGGTGGAGGGCCGGTTAGGCTGCTTCTACGGCCGGTCGAGGGAGGCGGCCCTCTGTTTCTGCGGTAACTTCTCCAAAGGATTTTTGCAAAGCCTGCGTTGCCGGTTGTGTGTTGCCCCTGGGTTCCGTCCCCGGGCCTGCGTGTCAGCGCATGACCTGGCAGAGACTTCCTTCCCTGTTCAAGTTCAGCGGCATGGCCCTCTGTGCAGCCGCCCCGGCTGTCGCGTCTGACGAGGTTCTAGAGCCCCAGATTTGATGATTCTGGTAGATTCCTCCCCAGCTTAATGGTTATTTCCATGGAGAGACTGACCCCCAGAGCTTCTTACTCTACCATCTTCTGTCACCAATGCTGTTTTTAAAGACACTCAAGTTTCAGCCCTGGCTGGCGTGGCTCAGTTCATTGAGTGCCAGCCTGTGAAACAAAGGGTCGCTGGTTCGATTCCCAGTCAAGGCAAGGGCCTGGGTTGTGAGGCAGGTCCCCAGTAGAGGGCATGCGAGAGGCAACCACATGTTTCTCTCCCTCTTTCTCCCTTCCCCTTTCTGAAAGAAAGAAAGAAAGAAAGAAAGAAAGAAAGAAAAGAAAGAAAGAAAGAAAGAAAGAAAGAAAGAAAGAAAGAAAGAAAGAAAAGAAAGAAAAGAAAAGAAAAGAAAAGAAAAGAAAGAAAGAAAGAAAGAGAGAAAGAAAGAAAGGAAGGATAGAAAGGAGGAAAGAAAAGCAAGCTCTGGCTGGTGTGGCTCAGTGGATTGGGTGCCGGCCTGCGAACCAAAGGGTCCCTGGTTCGATTGCCAGTCAGGGCACAGGCCTAGGTTGCAGGCTAGGTCTCCAGGGAGGGGCGTTTGAGAGACAACCACACAGTGATGTTCTCTCCTTCTCTTTCTCCCTCCCTTCCCTTCTCTCTAAAAAAATAAAGAAATAAAACTTAAAAAAAAAAAAAATCACACCTTAAAAAAAATAAATAAAAAATAAAGACACCCAAATTTGAGAGGGGGTCGCTGTGCCCTGTGAAGGCACCTCGACCTCTAACCCTCGGGGTCCTAAGGGTCCTGTCTCAGCTCACTGCCCAAGAAAACAACACTCAAGTCAACACGCCCTCGGTGGACGGTGGAACTGGGCATGTCCGTCGGAGCCAGAGACCGGCGGCTGCCCCTCTCGCCTCCCCAGCAGCGAACACGCCGACCACCTGCATGGCTTCTTAGCGGAACACGGACTGCGAGCGTCCGCAGGGCGTTTAAATCAGCACAGGAAGTGAAAGGAAAGCACTGCTCCCGGGCTATAGTAGAAACGGGATTTTAATAGAATATTCAAGTCTAGCATTTTCTATTTACAACAAATAAATATTGCCCCTCCCCAACTGGTAAACATGGTTTTTGCCTTTTATACAAATATTCGATCCCCTCCCCTCCCCCCAAATCCTCCTTTCCCACGGACCCCCGTCCCATGTGGTCTCGTGAAGCCCAGGGTGCGGCAGTGAGTGGCACCCGCAGTGTCGTGAGACATGACGCCGATGGGGCTCGGCCGAGGCCGTCCTCACTCACCGGGTGAAGAGCGGTCTGTGAGGAGGGTCTCCCTCCCCTCCCCTCCCCTCTCCGAGGGCGGGCCGGGGTGGGGCGCGGGGCTCCCTCTCTCACTTGGCCCTGACGATGGAATCTTTGGTGCAGCCGGAGGAAGGCTAGAGCGGTGGCAGGGGGGCCGGGACCCCGTCAACGGCACGGCCGGTGCCCGTGGCTATGTGGAGAGAACTGCAGTGGTCGGACCCAGCGGGCGGGCGGGTGCCGCGGGGCGCCCGTGGGCACGGGTGGCAGCGACCCACACCCGGGGAGGCGTGAGGGAGGTGCAGCGAGGGCGTGCCCGCTGGCGGGCAGGGCTCCATGCCCCTTGGCAGCGCTCCTGGGCAAAGTCGGCGAGTCCTCTGGTTCCAGAGAGCGGAAGGCACCTAAGGCGGCGAGTGGTCCACGGGGGGCCGGGTCAGCCTGTCGGTGGGCAGGCGTCAATCCCGGCAGCAGGAGAGGTCCCGGGTGAAACTGGAGTCAGGGGTGGCCCGGGCTGGCACGCGGGGCCGGAGGCGCCGGCCTGGCCTGGGTCACTGTCGTCTGCGAGTGGCTCCTTGCTTGGCCGGCCCGGTCCTGGAAAGGGCGGGCCTGTGGCTGGGCCAGCGCAAGGGACCCGCTAGAAGATGCCCTTGGCGATCTTGAGTCCCTTCTGCTTCATGCGGGGGAGGGTAGAGCTGGCTCCGTGCCTGACCTTTGCCCCCTTGGTGAAGGTCCGTTTCTTTAGGACAAAGTCATAGTTGGCAGTAGAGTTCATGGCGTAGAACACGTTGGCGTTGTCAGGGATCTTCAGCTCTGGTTGGGGAGGGGAAACGGGATGGTCAGTATGAGACCCCACAGGATGCCCCACCAGACGAGAGCCCCAGGGCGGGCCTCGGCCAGAGACCGAGACCCCCAACCTAAATCCAGGACCACCAAGGACCCGCCTTAATGGCACAGGCCCGAGGAGACTGGAGGCACGACAAAACCTAACGACGCTGCAGCTGGTGCTGGGTCACCCGCGCTGGCCCAGCGCTGCCTGTATGCGCTTGGGATGTCAAGCAGGAACAGGTGCCATGGACCCCGACCGCCTCCCCAAGCCCACTGTGCTCAGGGCAAGAGCTCTGGGGCCCCGAGACAGGCCGGCCTCCACGCCGCCCAGGCACGAGGCACCTGCAGGGCCTCACGTTCGGCTCCCGCACCCCACCTGTCCCCTCGGGCCTGGAGCCTGCTGTGCCCCTGCCGGGCTGGAACCCGCGCCCGTTCTGTCCTGCGGCCCTTGCGCGAGGCCCTTGCCGCTGTGCGGCCCCGTGTTCCTTTTCCGTAACGTGGGCCCCACCGGCCTTGCCACCGCTCACCGAGAAGGTGCAAGAGGGTGAGACGACTTAGAAACCAGCCTCGAGGGACCGTGGGGGCATTACCAACGGTCAGGGGCCATGGCGGGGAGCAGGGGGCGGGTGACGCGCTCAGGGCAAAGGAGAAGCCGGGACAACGTTCACGGCTGACCTTTGCGGCGCACATATGACCTCGAGCATTGACAGGATGGGGCAAGAGTGGCTTCACAGCCGCTCATGTGGGAAATGCTACAATAATTAACAACACAAGAATAAACCCTGTGTCTCATGTACCCACACCTGCAAACCTGCTTGCTCCCAGCCTGTTTCTATAAATGCAACGGCGCCTGCATTTCCGGCGTGGGAGGGGAGGGCAGGGCTCAAGGAACTGGCCGGAGGTCCTGACCTGGCCACCCGGCTCCGAGCCTGTGCCCACAGCTCCCCACCTTCCCCACGGCTGAGAACACTGCGCCGCTCCCACGCTCCTCCCGCTACGTATGGGCTGCACGCCTGTGTCCCCCGGGATGCCTGCTGAAACCTGAAGCCCCAGGGTAAAGGGACTAGGAGGCGGGGCTTTGGGGAGGTGATGAGTTCATGTGGGTGGGGCCCCTGTGAATGGGATTAGCGCCCTTGTCAGAGACCCCAGAGAGCCCCCCCCTCGATGTGGGACACCCCCAGAAGTTGGCCGTCTGCAACCCCGAAGAGGGCCCTCCACGACTGCTGGCTCCTGATCCTGGACGCCAGCCTCTGGGGCTGCGAGGGACACTTTCCTGTTGTTTAATTACACCCCAGTCTCTGGTGCTTTGTCACAGCAGCCTGAATGGACGAACACGGTGGCCTACGCACGTGGGTTTTAACACCCATGACCTCTCGTCCCTGGCAGTTACGAGTCTCCGGACGCACACATTTCCTGTCCTGGCCAGAAAGTGCCCCTGTGACCGGTGGGCTCGGCCACCAGGCTGCTTTGCCCCCGGGAGAGAAGCCCTTTCTCTTCGCTGCAGCTCTGGCCTGGGGTCGCGGCCTGGGAAGGGCTGTGACAGGCCCGGCCGCCCAGGGGAGCCGTCCCCAGAGCAGGCTGGTGGGCGCTCCGAGCTTGCCCGTCCCCCCGGCGTGGGTCCCAGGGCCACGGCCAGGGTGGGGTGCAGCCCCCCGCCTCCCCGCCCTGGCCCCAGCTTACTCCGCTCGGCGGAGATGACCTGCACCAGCTCGTACTGCTCCGGCTCGTCCTCATCCAGGTTGTGTTTGTCCATGGCCTTGCGGATGACGGCTGGGGCCTTATCTTGGCTGGTCACCTGGATTGGGGCGGGGGACAGGCCATCAGGGCATGGGTCCTGGAGGGGCACCCGTGGAGTGCGGTGGCCAGGGACCACGCAACTGCCTCAGCCTGGTGCTCAGCGCCACAGCCGCTGGGTCTGTGGGGGTCTTGCCCCTGTCCCCCGGGGCGGCCTCCTTGCAGTGATGAGGGGTCTTTCGCAATTGTTCCTACTCCTCCTTCTCCTCCAAGCCTGCCACCTCCTCGCGTGCCACCTGGGGCACCGCCCGCCCCTGCAGCAACGGCATCAGTGCGTCTGGGCGCCCCGCCGGGCCGGCCCCCGGACACAGGGCCACACAGGGCACTGGGCCACAGGGCCACGGCTGGGCAGCGGGAGCGGGCAGCAAGCGCGCATCTGCAGCCCAGCTCTGGAGGACGAAGAGAGTCCCCTGCCCCACGGATCAGTCCCGCTGGAGCGATCTCGACCATCAGCGACGTGCAGTGTCTGACCCCGCTGGCCGTCCCCACAGCCACCGGCCTGCACTGCCTCCTCCCCCGCCTGCCTGCGTGTCCCAGCGCCAGCCCCTCCCCTTGGGAGGGGAAAGCCACGGCCACCACCGTCCTCCTCTGCCCCACCCTCCAGTGGCTCCTGCCTCCCCCCGACACCTCCATGACCCCCTTGCCCCCAACCTCTGCTCCTTCCCCCAGGCCGGCCTGCTGTCCCCCAACTCCTGGCACACCCCCGCCTTGGGACACTGCCTGGCGCCCCTCCATCTAACGCCCTCCTCTGATGGCCATCGCGCCCTGGCCTCTTCCCTTCTGCCCTTCCGGACCCACTGGCAGGCTGCTCTGGGCGGGCGGGATGGTCCAGGGCGCTCAATCCCCGCGGGCTGCCCGGCAGGGCAGGTGGGGGTCCCAGGGGCGCCGCCACCCCCCCGCCCCACTCACCAGGATGCTCTTGTACATGTTGCCGTTGTCCACGTCCAGGCTGACGCGGATGATGCAGCAGTCGCCCACCTGCTGGTTGTACAGCGGCAGCGAGGCGCTGTAGCTGCTGACCCCTGAGACGGAGCGCTTGTGGGCGCGGGTGCCGGCCACGGGCGTGGTGGAGGCCGAGGAGGATGAGGCGCTGCTGGAGGCCGAGCTGATGCCGGAAGTCTCCGGGGAGGACTGCGAGGCCGACTCCCAGAACTGTGGGGAGGGCCCCGTCAGCAGGAGCCCTGGGCCGGGCGGACCGGGAGGGAGGGGCTGCGAGGGCAGGTTTGCGGGAGGCCGTGGGGTGGGCACCTTCTTTTCTTGGCCATCCGGGGACTCGGGGACGAAGCTCATGTTGACCTCCTCCACGTCGGAGCTGGAGGAGCCTGCCGAGTGGACGCTGAGTGCATCGGCGACGTCCCCGCCGCTGAGGTAGGGGCCACACCTGAGTTGGTCACAGGACTTGGAGTGAGAGCTGCCGCTGGTGCTCAGCTCCGTGCTGGGGGCCTGGCGGCTGGAGAAAGGGCCGGGTGACTGGGGGAAGGCCTCCCACGGGGCGCGTGCTCCCGGCACCCCTCCCCCAGCCTCGGCTCCAGGCACCGAGCTGAGTGCTCCGCCTGTCACCGGCACCCCCTTCGCTCCAGCCGTCTGACATCATTCAGCCTCACCCCGTTTCAGAGGGGGAAACGGAGGCCCTGAGAGGGGAGAGGTCTCCCCTGGTCACCGGGCTGGTCAGCGCAGGAGCTGAGGGCTCAGCGCGCCCCCCGGGAATCCCTGGCCCATGGCCACCTACTCGCTCCAGCGTTTGACAATGGCTGTGTTCTTCTTGGCCTTCAGGGTGTTGCTGGCCGACTCGGATGGAGGCTCCAGCTCACAGGACAGGTTGTAGCTGCAGGACAGAGTGGCAGCTGTGAGCCACCAGGAGCCACACGGGGGTCTCCTTCCCAGTGGCTGCCAGAGGCTGGAGCCTGGGCACGCAGCCCCCGCGCCAGGCAACAGGGCCCAGTGCGGACCGCGAGCCCAGGCCACAGGCCGTGGAGCGGGCTGCAGGGACCGCCCGCCCGCGACCGTCCGGCTCCCGCCCCAGCCCCACCTCTCGGCCTCGCTGAGCCGCTCCGTGGCGCGGAACCAGGCCCCGAACTGCTCCTCGGGCTCGATGCTGTAGTTGTTGCAGGCCGACTGCAGCAGCTTGATCTGGGCGATGACTTCGAATTCCTGGGGCCAGAGGGAAGGGCGGACGGCGATGGCCCAAGGCGGGGGCTGAGCAGGCTGGGCCCGGTCGCTGGGTCCCCTGCCCTCCCCTGCGCCCTCCCAGGCTGGACCTGATTCTCGGAGCTGGGTTCACACGGCCCCTCCCCAGGAAGCTGTCCTTGGTTCTGCCCCCCATCCTCGCCAGGGAGAGGTTCCCCCTATTTCGTGTCCAATTCCCTCCCTCCACAGAATAGGAAGGGGGACAGAGTCAAGAATGTTCTATGGGGGAACGTCTCTGATTTCCACCCCCAACATGAGGGCTGTGGCCACTCACCTTTCTCCGCTTCTCGAAGTTGATCAGCCTCCCCTGGAAGGCAGAAGCCAGCGCCCATCAGAAAGTGCCCCCTTGCCCACGCCTACTGGGCACCCCCCTCAGGCTGCACTACCCACAGCACACACCAGGGGGCAGGGCACGCCCACAAGCTTGGACCTTGGGCGGGTCCTGGGAGCTGGGCGCTGGGGGGCCTTCTCCCCTAACCCTCTGGAGGACAGATGAAGAGACTGAGGCCTTGGGGCAAGGCCTTGGGGTTCATCTCCAGGGTGGCAAACCCTGGAGGTCCGGCCTCTCTGGCCCATGGGCACCGCCAGGGTCCAAACTGCCACAGCTCTGAGCCTCGCCAGACAGATGGCCAGCTGGTCACCCACTGGTAAGAGGGGGAGGTGCCCCAACACACAGGAGCTGGGGGCTCTCGTGAGATGAGGTATGCCACGCGGGGAGCTCAGGGCTCGGCGAGGTGCGCTCTCCTCCCGGCACCGGGCGCCCGGGGCCCCGGCCCGCCCCACCCCGCCCTGCCCCCAGCGCACTCACATACAGGTAGTCCTTCATCGCGGTGTCCAGCATCACCAGGTCCGTGAGGAACGTGCCCAGGTAGGGGATGGTGCCCTGGATGGCACCCTGTGACATGGGGCGGGAGGCGGTGAGCGGGGCCCGCTCCCCGGACGCCTCCCAATCTCAGCCCCGCCCCAGGCCTCCCGCTGGGAGTAGCCTGGGACCTTTAGGCACCAGCCCCCTCCTCATGTCCCTGGACCCCAAACTCCCTCTAGTCGCCTTCCAGGCCTGGTATTTGGCAAAGCCCCAAGACCACGTGGTCTCTGGCCCACCCCACGCCTAACCCCCCAAGGCCAGCTTCCAGGCCCTTACCCTGGCAGCTCTATCCAGCCCCCCCGGGACGCCCGCGCGTCAGGGCTCAGAGGAGGCCAGGCCTAACCGGGCAGGTCAGGCTCGCTGGCAGCTGGGGGGACTCGGGAGGCCAGACCCGCCTCTCCCAGGCCTCGGGCACGCTCACCGTCTCCTTTGGCCGCTTCTGGGCCCTCTTGGGGTTCATCTCCAGGGTGGCAAACTTGGAGGTCCCCTCCTGCCAGGGCAGAGGACAAGGTCAGCGAGGCTTTCTCTCCTCGCCCTTTGCCCCACAGGCACCCAGATCTGTCCGGTCACTTGCACCCACGCCTGGACAGTCCCTTTGGGACCTGGCTCCCGGGCACCCCCTGCAGCGCTCCGTCCCTGGCAGGGTCAGGAAGGAAGGGACGCCCGCCCCGCCCCCTGTCCCCGACGCCAGCCACCGCCAGCCTGGAGGACACGGGGTGCAAGTGGGAGGGGACAGCGCAGAAGCTGGAGGCCTGATCCTGCCAGCTCACCCGCCCCTTCCAGAAAAGCCTCCACACCCCAGGCCCCCCTCTCCGGGGGTCCACTGTCGCCCAAGCCGCCCCACCTGACCATGGACCAGACTGATCCCTTGCTCCCCGAAGTCCAGGCAAGATAGGCCTGGAAGTTTCCAAAGACACGTCCCCCGAGAAGCTCACCCCACCCCTTACCTTGATGAGCAACTCTCGGCTGAGTGAGTAGTTGTTCTCATCGGAGAAGATCTCCGACAGCTTCTGAAAGACCCTCAGGCTGTCCCTGGGGGTGTGGTGGGGGCGGGGCTGTCAGTGCAAACCCGTTTGGCTGGAGCCCCCGAACACCTGAACTGCCGGGGCAGGCGGCTCCAACGGGCCGAAGGGCCCTCTGGGCCCGGGCCGGGGGCGTCTCTCAGGTGGTTCACCTGAGCCCGCCCCCACTTCTCCCGACTGGCGGATGTGACCAGGTTTGATTTCACATGGCTCAGTTCAGTACCTGACAGGTAGGGAAACTGAGTCCTGAGACAGAACTGCCGGCCCAAGGCCAATGGACGTCTAGGGACCCCACACACCCATGGGCCCGCCAGGTCGCCGCTCACCGTGGGGACAGCGCCCAGCCCTGAGGGAGCAGCCGGTGCACCGTGGGGCTCCTACAGACAGGCCTGCTCACCTAGAAACCTCTTCCCACGTCTTCTTCAGCCGGTGGATGGAGTTGCTCTGCAGAGCGGAGAGGATGGCGTAGAGCGAGGAGAAGTTCTTGAGGACCCGGCACTCCTGGCGAGGGAAGGGCGGGTCGTGAGGCGGAGCTGCAGCTCCCACCCGCCCCAGCGCCAGCCCCTCAGCAGATGAGGCGGAGCCCCCGAGGGCGCCTGCGCCCCACGGGTGACACTCTGGGGGCAGAAGGGCCTGAGCCCAACCCGGGAGGGAAGCGAGGAGGAGGTGAGCACCCAGGCTGGGGGGAGGGTGTGCGCAAGTCGGGGTCACTGAGTCCCTGAAACAGGAGGGCCCGAGAGTGGGCAAAGGCGGCAAGGGGGGCTCCAGGCCCCCCGAGGCGTACCCTGGCCACCTCAATCCAGTGCTCCACCACCCGGGCCCTGTCCCGCGCCGTGGCACTGCGGTCCCCGAGGCAGGTGGTGATGACACAGTTGGCCACACTGTTGAACTGGGAGACGGTGGCACGGACGGTGGGAGCCAGGTGCTCCTTGCCCTTCTTGTCGCGTTGGGACCAGATGGAGCCCAGGCAGTGGTAGGGCACCACCTTCTTGAACAGCTCCTGGGGGGGTGTGGGGGGCAGATGAGCATCGCCCAGCTCAGCGCGCACGGCACCCGCGGTCCCAGGGAGGGGCCTCGCCTCAGAGGGAGCTCTGGAAGCTGAGGGCGGGGCTGAGCCTCGCGGGGGGTCTCGGCTTTGTGTCCTGTCCCGCTGTGGGTGCCCAGCACACAAGAGGCCAGGAGAGGACGCTGGCAGGAAGGAGGTCGCCAGCGTCACCAGCCCATCCTCACTAACTCCAAGTGCCAGGAAGTGGCTTCCACTTGCAGGGACGAGGCGGCGCCTCGAGCCCCATCGCCCCTGTCCATCCCTGTCCAGAGGCCCGTCCCCTGTGGGCCAACAACTAGAGGTCCGGCCTGGTGTCTGCCACACAGCCAGGTACTCATCAGGTACCTAGCAAGTGCCAAGACCGGTGAGGCCCCTGGGCAGAGCAGGGGTAACCGCTAGAGCCGCCTGCACCTCAGGGACTCCCCTCCCCCGCTCAATGGCCACGCAACGCCCCCCCCCACCAGCCCACTGTCTATTGTTCCTCCTCATCTGCAGAGGGACAGGGTGCGGGTGGGGTCCCAGCTGCACAGTCTGCAGGGAAATGGAGACCTCAGGGCTAAGAAGTGTCCCCGGGTCATGTGGCCTATAATGCTAGGGCTGGGACTTGGGCCAGGACATTGGCTCCGGACCAGGGAGCAGCAGGGCTGGGCAGCAGATGCCAGAGGCAGGTGTGGCCTCCCTCCCTGTCCGCCCGCGGGGACGAGAACTCACTGCATCCATCAAGGTAAACTGTTCTGCCACCAAGTCAGGAGGGAACGCCAAGAGGTGAGGCTTCTCCTCGCTCAGCCCGTTCTCAGTAGCCCCCGGCGAAGGCCAGGGAGGCTCCGGTGCCAGCGCTGGCCCCAGCTCTAGAGTCCGCGACAGGGCCGCCTCCAGCTCTGGGGTGGGGGCTGGGCCCGGTGCCGGCGCCGGCTCTGGCTCGGGAGCCAGGACCAGCTCTCGCCCTGAAGCCGGCACGGGACTGGGCGCCGGCGCCGGCACGGGACTGGGCGCTGGAGCGGGCGCTGGCGCTGGTTCTAGCTCTGCAGCGGGCGCCGGGGCTGGTGACAGAGCTGTAAGAGGAGAAAAGTTCAGCGACACTCCTGCTTTCCCAAGACAAAAATCACCCCGGTGCCTTGTAGGGAAGCCTCCACCCAGGACGGCGCCTCCCCCTGCAGGCCACCGTGGCGGGGGGACCTGAGGCCCATCTCTGCTCCTGGCCCATGCCAGCCTCCGGGGGGCCGCCCCTGCCCTGCATGCCCGGGCCTGGCCCCGCTGCCGGCACCCCCCGCCCACCCCGTCCCCTCCTCCTCACCCTCCAGCTCTGCCTCCCCGAGCTCCGCCTGCTCCAGCTGAGCCAGCAGGAGGTGCGCGCGGCGCTCCAGATCGGAGCCGGGCACGTTGAGCTGCACGTAGGCCACCAGCTGCCGGAGGCAGGGGAAGTCCGGAGGCTGGCAGAAGTCCTCCGAGTACTGGTCCAGCCAGGTGCCCAGGATGGAGGAGATGGCACTGGGGGCAGCGGCGGGGAGGGCGACAGAGTCAGAGGCACGGCCTCTCCCTCCACATGGCCCTCCCGGGGCCCCCTCCCGGCCTGCGCCCGCCCTCCCAGAGGCTAGTACCCCCCGCCCCCTGCGCTGAGTCCTCCAGGCAGGGGCAGGCCTGGTGAGCGGGCAGGGGCTCGGGGGAGGGAGCCCTCCATCCATCGTGTGACCCCCTCCTGCCCCAGGGAAGCCTGACACCCTCCTGTCAGCGAGGGGTGGGCCTGCCCTGGCACAGCACAGGCTGGCACACAGTAGGTGCTGCCAGGAGGTGAGCGGGAAGCAGGGCAAGCAGAGTGTCCCGCCCAGCCTCCTGGGCCCTCGTGGAGCCTCCGCCTCAGCTCGTGCTGCCCTGTTCTCTGTGTCACGCGGGGGCTTTGTCTTCCCTCTGACACTGCTCTGGGGAACTGGGGCGGCGGTCACGAGAGGTGTGGGAGGTGCAGCTCCCCACACCCCACATCCTTGGCCCGCAGGCGCCCCCCCCGTGGAGACAGGAGGCGCACTCACTTCCTCAGCTGGTCCTGCGGCCCGCCGTCCTCGTGGGGATAGGGGAGGATGCATCCGTATCTAGAGGAGGCCGTGGGGGTGTCACATCTACCGTACCTGCTAGGACGTCTGGTGTCACAGGCGGAGCCCCCTCCTCCCGCAGCCCCCCCATGAGGCTGGAGGCCCCGGAGGGCAGGGACTTCCGCTTTCCTTTTTAAAAAGATTTTATTTATTTACTTTTAGAGCGAGGGGAAGGAAAGGAGAAGGAGAGGGGAACATCCATGGGTGGTTGCCTCTTGCACACCCCCTGCTGGGGAGCTGGCCGGCAACCCAGGCCTGCACCCTGACTGGGAATCGAACTGGCGGCCCCTTGGTTCGCAGGCTGCCGCTCAGTCCATGGAGCAGCACCAGCCGGGGCTGGTCTGCTTTTCCCATGGAATTTTGTCACATGCCCAGAAAAGCGCCTGCATATGCACTTTTCTGGGAGGGCTTCATATACATCTGTGGGATCAATGAACCCCACGTGGCACCTCAAATAATCTGAGTGGGTCTGGGGCCCCTCAGGCAGCCCCCCGGGGCCTCTGCCCTGACCTGTCACGGAGGGGACCCCCCAGATAGAACCTGGGCCCTCCATTCAGACGGGAAGACCAGTTTACCCAGGGGCACAGGGCAAGCGAGGCTTGAGGCAGGGCTGCTTGGGCGGGAGAGGAACGCCGGATGTAAAGACCGGCGCAGCCCCAGGGAGTCCCCTCTCCCCGCCATCCTGGCGACCCCGGGCGGTCGGCCCTCTCAGCACCCAGTTTCCACCTGAGCAGGCCGAGGCTCAGAGAGGGGGACTGCTAACCCCGAGACCCACCGCGGTCGGCGGGCGGGGCGCTCACCTTTTGAACAGCAGGTCCAGGACCTGCTGGGTGGTGGTGAAGGTCCGGTAGGTGCACAGGAAGATGGTGACGTAGGAAAGGTCGCTGCCCTCGAAGGCTGGCACCAGGTGCTCCACCAGCTTCTCCAGCGTGCCCGCCTTCACCGTCCGCACCTTGCAGGTCTCGTACAGGCTCAGGGCCGACTCGTTCTCACACTGGGGAGGGACAAAGGCGCGGCATGTGGCCCGCGGCAGCCCCGGGGACCACCAAGGTGGGGGCTGGAGCTCAGACAAACCCCCACGTGCTCCGCGACGTCTGCCAAGAGCGGGGGACAGGAGTCTCCCAGCAGAAAAAGTAAAATTTGAGGGTTAAAAGTAAAGTTTGAGGTGGGGGGGGGGCGGGTGACAAAAAATACTAACTGTTGCAGGTCGCCTGCGCCAGAGCCAGAGCATTCATTATCCGTGCGAAGAGCAAACAGCTTATCAGGGGTGGGAGGGGCGGCACAGGAGGACACACAGAACCTCCAGGGCAGCTCTGTGGAAATGGCCCCGGAGAGAAACCAGGCCACCGGGCCCTGGAGGGCTGCGTCACCGTGGTGGCTGGCCTCCCTTCTGGAACATCAGGCCTCAGCTCTGACGGGGGCGGGGCGGGGCGGGGCGGAGGGGGCACGGGCCATGCCCCGCGAGGAGCGCGTTACAGGGAACCACGACGCAGTCCTCGCCTTTTTAGGGTGAAAACAGCCCTTCCGACCAAGCACCACCATCGCAGGGATGTTGGGGCTCGGGGGAGGCGGGGACCGCCAGGCAGGTCGACAGTTCCAGGGCACAGCTGGGGGCCGCAGTCAAAACAAGAAAGCTGGGCCCAAACGCAAAGATACTCCTACACTGACATGAAATCTAAACAGTATAAAAGCGTCTTTTCTCCTACGTTCCTGGAAACTAGACGGCACGCGGCCACGCCCAGGGCGGGGTGGTGGGGGGGTGGGGAGGGGCGAGCCCGGTTCCCTTGAGAGGCAGGGCTGGGGGCCCACCGGCAGGGAGGCGCTGGGAGCAGGCCCAGGCCGAGCAGTCACCAGGGCAGCACGTGGAGCCCGGGCCCTGTCGTGGCCGCGGTGGCAGCGGCACCCGCCCGCACACTCACCCCGAGCCAGCGCTGGCCCTTGGTGGTGCCGTGGTGCGCCTGCACCTTGCGCAGGGAGATGGAGTAGACGACCCCGTTGACCAGCTCCTCGCCGATCTCCTGCGTGGAGCTCTGTGAAGACAGCGGCCAGTGGCCGGGCGGGGAGGTCAGGGCCCTGCCTGGTGGACGCGGCAGGGGTGCCCAGGGCCACCTCTGATCCCCAGATGAGGTCCAGATCGGTGGCCCCACAGACCTCCAGTTCAGAACACGACAGGATGACCGATCGCAGGCAGGACTCACACCAGGGTGGTGGGTGCTGCCCGGGGCCCTCCCCGTCCACCCTGCCAGCCGTGAGCTGGCCGGGAGCAAGATGAGGCCGCCAGGCTTCCGGTGCCCCGACAACTTGCTCCTGCCCAGGGCGCCCCCAAGACACGTGTGGTTACTCGGTCATTTCACAGACGAGGAGGAGCCTGTCCGAAGTCGTACACCGCGGCTGGGGAGGGGCAGACCTGGGATGCCACGCTGGACATGGCAGCCGCGCCTCGACCCCTCCTCTGCCCAGTCTGCCCGAGCCCCCAGCTGACCCCGCGGGGTGGCAGCTCCTCCCAGCCCAGCGTCACGGGTCAGCGTCACGGGTCTGGGGCAGGTGAGGGGATCCTCCAGGCCACATCCGAGGTCACTTCCTTCCCTTTCTGCTCATTCACAGCTTGTGCCTTCTTGGGCAACAGGGGAGTTCCCAGTTCCGTGTCTGTCATCATGTGAGGGGGAACAGGGTGCATGCGGAAAGGGGACAGTGCGGACGTGCGGGCTGCTGGCTGGGGTTCCGTCAAACCCCTGCAAAGCCACGGGACTTTGCCTGGGCCAGGAAGGGGGGTCACCTGACTGTCACCTGGACCCCAGGCAGAAAGGAAAGGCCCTTGTGTTGGGACACAGTGGCCCCGTCCCATGGGGCAGGCTGGCCTGGGGGCCGCCACCAAGGCCCGTACAAGGCCACTTGATCACGGCCGAGCTGGGCTCCCCGGCCCTCTCGCAGCTGGCCCTGTCCAGGGGAGAGGGGGCCTGCGGCGGTGGGGGGCCTGGGAGTGAAGGTGCTGACCTCGGCGAGCTCCGGGAGGGGCTCCTGGGGACACGGCCGTCGACGGCACCGTCCCTGCCAGCAGCGGGGACCATGCACGCTCAGGTCACTGCCCCAACCAGGGGGGCAGTGAGAAGTGCTGACCGAGCTGGGCCCCACGGACAGCCCGGGCCGAAGCCCGCGACCTGAGCAGGGGCCCCGGGAGAGAACCAGCTGCTGGCTCCTGGATTGTTCCCCGAGATGTCAGCACCCCGGGGTCAGGGCCTGGGGGCCTGGGCCTCTTGGCTCCTGCCGGCTGGAGGCTCGGGAGCCATCCTCCGGAAGTTTGCTTCCTCTGACCCAAGGCCGCCCTCCCGCTCTGGGCCGCGCCCCAACGGGAAAGCCCCTGCGACCACACGGGGCTCCCGACCCTGTGCCGCGGCCTCCTCCCGGGAGGGCGCCTGCCGTTTCTCGAGTTTGCAGGGAACCCACAGCAGAGCGCCACCCCCCGCCCCAGCAGCACCCCTCCCACCCACACCCCCCAAACGGGCCACGCCTGGGGAGGGCAGCCCTTCCCCCGCAGAGGAGAAATTCCTCCTCCCGAAGCAGAAAAGGAGAAACAGGGGCACACTGTCCCCCTAGCCCCTGCTTCCCCGCCTCACGCACCCTCCCTGCTCGGAGGAGCCCCTCAGAGGGGGCCGGTGACAGTGACGGACAAGGGGCTTCCGGGGCCTGCTAGCCCTGCCACGCCCCCCAACATGGCCCTGGCCGCCCCCACATCTCCTCACAGGTCCCAGAGCCTGCCTCCCCCAGGCCTTGTCCCTCTCCTGGGGATTCCTGTCACATCTGGCCCAGCTGGGAGCCACAGGGCGTCCTGAGCGCCCACGTTCCTGGCGGCAGCCTGGAAGCCCAAGGCAGGACCTGCCCGCCAGGGGCCCCCGGGGAGCCCACAGCGCACCTGGCTCCCAGGGGCCTCCATCCAGGCCTGCTGGACAGAGCGCGCCCCGGCCAGGCCACCCCTCGGGCGGGGCCAGGGCCTCAGGTCTGAACTGTGGCTCTGCAGCAGCCGCGGCCTGGCCCCCGCGGGCTGCGAGCAGCTGGCTGGCCCTGCCTGGGTGTCATGTGATCCCCAAGCCCTTCCCCCACCCTGGAGGGGCCCCCTCTGCCCGCCGTTGGTTGGGGGGCAGGGCGGGAGGCTGAGCCACGCAGGCTGGGCTGGGGGAGTCCCTGTCCCCGCACACAGATGGGGGGCTGCTCCGGCTGGAGCGAAGTTGGCCCTGTCCTCCAGGGCTCCCTCCCGCAGCCGCCGCGGCAGGCAGGAGCCCAGACCGCGACTGTCAGAGTGGGTCTGAGCACCGGCACCACCTCACCATCTCCCACGCGCCGACAGCGGGGCAGGCTCTACAGCGAGGTCCCGGGGTCCCGGGCCGCAGCGGCAGAGTGGGTGTTGGTCCCCCGCTCTCCCCGCCTCGCCAGGGACAGAGGGAGAGCAGCCGTGCACTGGCCTCAGGACCCCCCGGGGCAGGAAGGGAAGGGCTGGCGCCGCCGCCGCCCCGGGCCACCCGGCGGGCAGAGCGGGCCGCCCTGGAGCCCAGGAGCGGCCACCAGGTGGGCAGCTCCAGGTCCCCAAGGACGCTGGGAGCCCTTGGGGGAGGAGGGGACTGGCCTGGTGACCACACGTCCTGAGGGCAGCACTGGGCTGTTAGGGGAAAAGAATGTCACAGGGATGTTCTGCCCTCAGGGGACAGCACCTCCTGTCCCACCCAAGGCAGACACCCTCCTGATGTCCTGATGTCCCAATGTCCCCAGGGTCAGCAACTGTGCCGCGCCACAGCCCAGCCTCCCTCCACCTCGGTCAAGTGGGGGGAGGTGCCCCTGGCCCTGGTGAGCAGAAGCCAGCAGAACAGGCACCCAGGGTGTCCCTCAGGGGACAGCTGGAGCCCTGGGGCCAAGGAGGAAAAATGGCCTGGGTGGCATCTTAATGTGTCACCGATCGGCCTTCTCAGGGGGGCAGCCAGCAGGATGCTGTGTCGCCAACTGATTGCCGGCCAAGCCCCCCCCCCGCCCCGTGCCCTTAAGATAGAAGGAGGGGTCTGCAGCGGGGGCGGGGAGGGGCCTCCCCCCTCCCCCCGCCCGACAACGGGACGGCAGCACCGCCCATCGGTCAGCCCTCTGCACCGGCACAGACGCACCTTTCCTGCAACAGCGACAACAGGGCCACGGACGTCCCCCCGCCCCCCGAGACTGGCTCTGCCTGAGGAGACCTCGCTGAGGGCTGCAGCCGAAGGAGGGGGTCTCTGGCCGACACCGCAGACCCCTCCCCGGCGCCTGGCGGCACGGGAGAGGCCCTGGCCCTTGGGTGGGGGGCGGGGGGGCAGCTCCAACCACAGCACTTCCATGAGCATGAGGTCACCCCTCCGGCAGCTGTGTGGGTCCACCGAGTCACGCAGGGCACCCAAAGACCCTGGCCGGCCACCTGCCAGCGCCCTTCAGCCCCAGGCAGAGGACGCCCCTCTCCAGGGCCCTCCGCCCTTGGAGTCGCGTCTCTCACGAAGGACTCTGACCCCAGCTCTGCCGGCCCCCTCGGCTCGCGACCTCGGCGAGCCCCCCACGACCTGGGGAGAAGAGCATTGGCCGGCGACGGTGGCAGCCAGGAGAGAGAACGCGCGCGGCCCAGAGCGGCGCCCGGCGCACGGAAGCGCCCAGCGGACGGGATTATACACGCACAGCCCCGGGGCTGGCGGTGAAAAGCCCCCCGGGACACCGGGGGTGGGGGGCCTGCCAGCGGCTCGGGGAACCCGGGGCGGGGGCGTGGAGGTACACGTCACTCTAAAACTCCGCAGGATGGAGTCACCCCTGCCGCTTTCTGCCTTTTTTAGCGTTTTGCTCAAATGCAGGAGCTCCGACGACGAGAGACAGGGTAGAAAGGGCTCCCCAGCCCTCAGGCTCCCCAGACGCCGGGACGGTCTGAACCCCAAGCCACGCGCCCAGCACACGGGGCGGGAGGCTGAGGCCGGGGGGGCGACCAGGCTAGGGAGAGACCCAGGACTTCGCACGTCCACGTCCTGGTTCGTCTCTAGACCGTGCGTCGGGGCAGGGAGAGTGAAGACGCTGAACACGAGCCCTGGGTGCGGGTGGGCCGTACTCCGGCCCCCAGGCCCCGCAATCCACAGAAGCAGCCCCGGCTGGGGACCGCTCAAGACGCCTGGTTTTCAGGACAACCAGGAGGCCCTGTGACCCCAGACACTGGAGTTTGGAAGCTGAGCCCAGGCCCCAAAGGGGCCGACCCATCTCCCCCCACAGAACCTTCTCTACCAGCCGGAGCCGAGCTACATAAACAAACAAGCTGTGGCTGGCGGACCGCTGAGGAGGAGGGCGGCCTGGTCCCTCGGGACCGGAGGGCAAGGCTGGCTGACGGTCTGCAGCCAACAGCAACGCCGCAGGCCAGTGTCCAGCACATGTGGCACTTCCTGGGTGCCAGGACATCAGTACACGCGTCACGTCTGATCCTCCCAATACCTGGCCTGACAGACAGGGAAGGAGCCGGGTGGGGACCTGTCCAGGTCAGAGGCCAGGCAGTGGCAGCTCAGGCAGGGACTTGAACCCTGGCCTGTGTTCTCAGGTGCCCTGGGGCCGCACCCAGGCCTCACTCCCTAAGTGGCTGCCATGGTCACAGCCTCAGGACAGAGCCTAGCCCCTGGTCACACAGATGCAGGCGAGAAACCAGTGATGGGAAGGCCCCCCTCGGGGCCCATGGCCAGTTGGGGGTGGCCCGGCCCAGCTCCCCCTACTGAGAGGGCATGTCCCGGACTGCCACGGTCCCCGAGGTCAGCTACAAGGACCAGACCCGGGGAGTGCCCTGCTGACCAGGAGCCCAGGGCGCGGGCACGCCCTGGACCCCGGTCAGGAAACGTAGCCGGGGCAGCCACTGTGTGCCCGGCTCAGATGCTGTGCCAGGCACCACAGGGACCGTCTGTGAGGCCGCCTGTCTCGCTTGGTCCTCGCCAGAGCCCTAAGTAGAGGACCTGGCACACGGTCCATGGTACGGACGAGGGAGTGCGGCTCTGAGGGCGGGCCCAGGGTGCGGGGCCGCGCCGGCGTTCCAGCGCCGCTCCCTGCGCCCCAGAGCCCAAGCTCCTGACCAGCGCACTGACCCTGCCCCTTGGTTCAAAAGGACATCACAGCCCTAGGTGACTGCAGAGCGGGCCATGCAGGCAGCCAGCACTGCCCTGGAGAGGAGAGGAAAACGCCAAAGCCACACCCGCACCCAGATGCCCCAAATGCAAGCCCCCGTGCTGGGCGCCCCCACCCCATGCGCCAGCCACAGCCCTCCCCCCACCCCCACACTCAGCGTCGGATGGCGGAGTTGCTTCCCTGGAGCTGAGCGTCCAGGAACGTGGCGTTTCTGGGCTTCCGAGGCTGGAGGCCCGAGCCCGGGACAGGGTGGCCATAGCACAGGGCCGTGCCGTGGGAGCCATCTGGGCGACCAGCCAGCAGCCCCTGGGAGCCAGGCCACAGCTTGTTTGTTTACGTAGCCCTGGGGGGCCTGGCGCAGCCCCCTTAAACGGCCCCCACTGGTTCGCTCCAAGGTCGCCAAGGGCCAGCGCTAGTCAGCTCCAATGAAGATAAGGCCCGGATACGTCAACGTCCAGGTGGGGGGGGGGGACCCCGGCCCTGCCCACGAGCGACCCAGCGTCTCCCAGGGCTGGCCTCCCCACCTCCCGCCCCTGCTCCAGGGCCCTTCCTGCCCGAGCCTCTGGGGAGACAGCCCAGTGCACTCAAGCCTCGGGCGTCTCCCAGCCAGAACCAGCCAGCCGGGCACCCGCGCCTCTCCAGCCCCTGAGGAGCAAAGCAAGAGGGGCGCCGGAGGCTCTGCAAGGCCCCTGCAGATGGCAGGCAGGCAGACAGACGGACAGACACACCTGAGGCCAAGCCTCTCAGGCCTCCGGGGTCAGAGGCCCCGGGGCTGTAACCAGAGACCTGCACAGCGCGGTGAGACCTGCCGGGGGAGGCCAGCGCGAGGCTGGCGGGGCGCAGCCCTGTGTAGCTCCACCCGGAGAGCAGAGAAGCCCCCTCGGCTAGTTCCACCCTCAGGCTGTGCTCAGGCCTTGCAGGCGCCGCCTGGGCCGGAGCCCCACCCGCGCTGCCCCCGCCTCAGGGGGGCTGGGTGAGCTAGTGAACCTCAAGTGCCTCAGTTCTGCCACCTGTTCAGTGGGCTGTTGACAGTCCTGAGGGCGAAAGGACTCGAGCCCTGGAAGTGCTCGACACAGCACCTCCCACAAAGTTCTGACTCCTGGGAGCTATTTATTCTAAAGCTCTGGGGGTCCAGCTGTAGGCCTGCTTCTTCCTGGGAGCTCTGGCCCAAGGCACTTTGCCTTCCTCTGGGCTACGAGCGCCCCTACCCCTCACTGGGCCAGGGCTCCTGGGCGCCCAGTCATTCTGTGGCCTCTGCAGCTCCAAGGTCCTCCCCCATCCCTCTGGCCTCCCGCACACGGTAGGCGCCCAATAGAGAACACAGCCAGGCTCAAGCCTTGGCTGCGTCCTTCTTGGCTGTGCGTACGTTCCGATCAGGGACCTCACTTCTCGGGGCTCTGGGCCCCTGGGAAGCACCTGCGCTGGAACGCGGGGGCGGTGCCCGCGTGCGTCTGCCGGCCCGGCTGAGGCCTGCCCCGAGGCGGGGGCAATGGCCAGGAGACCCCCCCGAGAGCACAGAACCACACAGTCCGAGCTGGGTCAGTGGTGGCTTGGCTCAGGCTCAAGACAGCGAGCAAGCGGACGCCCAGATGTGCGAGGACAGCTGGCAGCCCAGAGAGGGAAGGCCTGGGCGGAGGCTTGGTGGGGAAATGGGGGACAAGGGAGGAAGGGCAGGAACTGCCTGGTGGTTTCCAGAGAGGATAGGGACCACAAGCAGGGCTCTGGCACACTCCAGCGACCAGGAAATCAGCCCCAGGATGGCGGGTGGGGGGAGCTGTTGGCAGGAGGGACAGGGACTTCCCCGCCCCCTCCACCGGCCTATGGTAAATGGTCATTGTGTTTGGTTTCCGGCAGTGGCCTCCTCTTCTGCCAGGACCCTGGTTTTCCTGCCCCAGCCAGAAGCTTCCCCTTTGATTCTAAACAGTGACCGTGGCCTGGATCTAGTGCTCAGCCCCCGCCCCCCCCCCAGCCCAGGAGCAGCAGGAGGGAGAGAGAGAGGGAGGGGGAGGGAGAGGGCGAGGGAGCAGGGAGGGGGGAGGGGCAGCAGAGAGTGGGCCGACCCGGGGCAAGGGTAGGGCTCGGATCGGCCTCTCCCTGGGGTCCTCAGGGATGCACAGGGATAGAAGGAGGGAGGAAAGCGGCCGGCGGAGCGCGGAGCCCCACCCTGGCCAGGAACCTGCCTAGCCCCTTGAGAGCGTGCGGCCGACCCTCCCAGCACACAAAGCCGGACTGGCTGCCAGATGTAATGAAAGTCAGATGAGCACCGAGCTGGTGTCGGGCCTGCCCGGGGTCCTGCTCCAGTCGCCAGTGGAAGCCAAAGCTTCGGGTGGCTGAGGACCCCAGAACACACCAAGCTTGGGCGGAGGGGTCTCCCAGGCCTGGACCTCCCCCCTGGAGTTTCCCCCCACCCCCGCCGCTGGGCATGGAGACACACTTTATCCTTGAGCAAGTAGGCACGTGCCCAGGCCCTGTCTAGGTCCTGGGGCGCACTGAGGCCCAGGACCCAGGCCGCCAATTGCCGGCAGTCACAACACACTGGGGCCTTGAGTGGGACACCAAGGGGGCCCTAGCCAGGGTGGGGGCTCAGGAACTTCCCTTGGAAGGCCCGGGCTCAGCCTTGACGTGCTGAGCCCCTCAGCCCGGGGCTGGCAGAGGCCCAGGCCCCACCCCCAGGAAGAGCAGAGCGAGGGGCTCCTCCCTGGGTCCACTCGCTCTGCTCCAGGGCTCAGGGGCACGGTCAGGCAGGAGGAGGAAGGTGCCAGCCAGCCACCTGCGTGACCCGATGATCCACTGAGCCCCGCTGCCCAGAGCACACCAGAAACAAGAGCCCCAGTCCTCACTCTGCTACCCTGCCCCCCATCAGTGACAGGCACCTCTCTCCTTCTCGGAACCCTCCCCAACCCTTACCAATTCAGGACACCGTGTGGCGGTGTTTTCTAATCAGGCAGAAAGGAGGCAGTCGCCCCTCCGGGCATGAGAGGGCCTCGCCCCAGCCTCCCTGCTTGGACACAGGGTCTGGAAGGTTGGAGGCCTGCTTCCTCTCCACCCAACCCCCCCACCCCGCCCCCTGCCAGCAGCCCTGAACATCAGATGTACCTCTGACCCCGAAGGTGGAACACCTGGAAGGCCACTGTGATCCCAACCGCCTTTGAGGATTCCAGGAGTTTGCTACCCTAAGCACCAGTTCGTTACACGGATTGCGAAGCCACGGCCTATGCAAGCTGGGGCTGGCAGCACAGGTGGAACGGGGCCCAGCCCCTGCTGCCGCGAAGACGTAAACAGACAGTGACAGCCGCGGAAACAGGTCTACCTGGGCTGCAGGGGCACGATGCTGGCACTCCCGGGCCCAGTCGGGGAAGGCACCGGGACGGAGAGAGGGGCACGAAGGCCCGGGTCTGGTTCCTAAACCGCTGGACCGGCTGTCCTAGGGGCCACCGCCGCCCCCCGCCCCTCAGCCCCGTCCACCTTGCTGCCTGGGGGTTAGAGCAACGAGGGAGAACTGCTGCAGAAGGGCCCTCGTTCCAGACCGATCAAGGCGCTAGACCCCACCCCGCCTTCTATGGGCCGCCCTGGCTCACCCACCTCCAGGCGCGGCAGATCAGGGTCCAGCTGCGTGAAGCTGTGCAGCACCACCGGGCAGCTGTCGGGGCCGCCCACCTCCAGGCGCACGGCGTCCCACACGCTGCGGCTCCGCCGGGAGCCCGGAAACAGCGTCTCGGCGCCGCCCGCAGGCCCGGCCGCCTCGGTCCACATGCGCTGCACCATGGACGGATCGCAGCGGCGCGGGCGGCCGGCCGGGCCGCGGGACCCGGGGCGGCGGAGGCCCGCGCGGCTCGGCGCTGCCTGCGCTCTGTGCCCGCAGCCCGGCCCTGCCACCCGGCTCGCTGAGGTCAGCCCGGGGGCGGGGCCTGCGGCGCGCAGGGGCGGGGCCGGCGATACCGGAGTGCGCGCGCGCACGGGCGCCTCCGCGAGCCAGCTGGCTGTTTGTGCCCTTTGGGGAAGGGGGGTGGTGTGCGTGGCGGGGCTGTGGGCACCGCGGTTACGCGCTTGGTGTGGATGCGTGCTCTCGCGCAGCACGTGTGACGTAGGTGTGGGACTTGTGAACATGCTGATATACGGTCAAGAGGCCCTGAAGTCAGATCCACCTCCCACGAATTCCAGTTAAGCCCCTCCCTGGCTCGGTGGCCTGGGACAAGTTGCTTAACCTCTCTGAGCCTCAGTTTCTTCATCCGAGAGGACAGCACTCAGCTGGTGCCCCAGCCTCGCTGTGGGCTCCTGAATCCTGGAATCGTGGTCGTGTCTTTGGTGCACACATGCGTGCGTTCGGCAGGCCTGAGTGCTGGGTGGGGGGCTTTTGGAGTGGGGAGAGGGGCCCTTGCTTGCACTATCTCCTTTGCAGCCTGCAGCCACACTGAAGACGGGGTGTCAGGGAGGAGAGGGGAGAATCCAGACCAGGCATCACTGGGGCTGAGGGACAGAGACATTCGAGTGTGAGACATCAAGAAGGACAAACACCAGCGGGAGTGCCTGCCACTGGCCTGGTCAGCTGGGGCCGCTTGTGGCTTGCGCCCTGAAGGTCTCAGGCACAGGGGAGGGTAGATGCGAAGCTGCTGAGGAAGCAGGGCTGGGGAGCCTTCTCCTCTCCCTAGAAACCAGTGGGGTGGGAAGAGGGATCCTGGACCATCGGGCCTCAGTTTCCAACCCGTAAAATGAGAGGGCAGGGCCACTCCACACATCCCACAAGCACGTGGTGCACGCCCACTACATGCCAAGCCTCTCGGATATTCACGGACAGCGGGGTCCAGCAAGCTCCCACCCACCTGTGTGCCCACCTGGGCAGCCTGAGCACAGGGGGGCGGGGCGGCAGCAGAGCAGGGACGGAGGCGGAACACAGTTTGGCAGTTTCTGTTAAGGACAAGAAAAAACACTATGTTCTTTGATTTGGCAATCCCACTCTTAGGAATTCGCCCTCAGGTGGCGAGCCCAAGTGTGGACAGGGATTTCTATACGAGCTTCTTGTTTACGGAAACGGGGTCCCATGCTGTCAGTGATTCCTGGGGCGCTTCCTCTTATAATCCCCACTCCCCAAATCGGTGGCGTAGATCCCTCACCAAGGGCAGGGGCAGCCCCAAAGAGAGGGGACCGAGAGGACTCGTGCCTGCCGCCTGATGGAGGACATTTGGTTCCTGCCCCAAACCAAATGTGAATCCAACCGGGCCTCCACAGGTATCCCCGTTTTGGGGAATTACAGGGAACAGAGGGACACGTTCAGCCCCCCATGAGGACGCAACCCGAGTCCTGGGGGACTCCGCAGGACGCGCCGGCCAGTTTCTTCAACAAGTCCATTTCAGGGCAAAAAGTAAAGGGGCAACTACAGATCCAAATAAAGGTAAGAGACAGCAACCAAATGCAATGTGTGGGTTTTGGCCTGTCATGTGAACAGCGCAGCTGTTTGAAAAACAGAAACAAACAACCAACCTCAGAGGCAACTGGGATTATTTGAACACTACCGGATGGTTGAGGATATTTGACATCATTTTTGCGTGTGATCACAGGATCTGCGTTACGATTAGGGTAACACACCGAATATTTACGGGTGGAGTCCCGTGCCTGGGATCTGGGCACACCGTCGTCGGCTGAGCAGGAGAGGGAGCGCGCGGGGCAGTCAGAGGAGGCACAAGAGCGGCTCGCACTGTGACCGTCAAGCTGGGGATGGGTCTTTATTCCATATCCTCCACTTTTGTGTCTATGTAGAACTTTTCACAGTAGAAGTTAAAAGATACAAACACAGTTGGAAGCTCGCCCTCAGAGGCCACGGAGGCTCCCAGCAGCCAGTGAGGGGGGCGGCAACCTCCTGGCCCTGGGCCATGCCCGTGACAGGGGGCCGGCCTCCCCACTTCCCATGTTCTGCGCCCCATGCCTGGGGGTACCCGCTGCAAAAGGGGCTGGGGCCTTCGCTGGGGGCCGAGGCAGCTGGGAAACCCAGTCGACGGCTGAGACGGTGCTGGAGGCACCCCAGTGACCTTGGGCAAGTCTGAAGTTCAAGGTTATGAAAACTTTGCCCTTGGAGGGTCTGCTGGGAGGAGCTGAGCACAAAGCACTGTAGGACGCGGGGGGGGGGTGGTTATTACAAATCGGCGTCACTCCTTCCTCTCTCATCCTGCCCGCTGTGCACCCAGACCCCGGCGGGCCCAGGTTCCCACCCTTTCCCGGTGGAGGGCGCCCGCCCTCCCTTGGGGGTCACAGAAGCCCTCCTCCACCAGTCCACCACTCTGCTGTCTGGACAGGTCCTCAGTCAGGATGCTCCTTGCACAGGATACTAAACAGATGGGCAGCGGACAGACAGCCAGGGACGAAACCAGGCCAGCGCCAGCCCACACGTGTTTTGTTTGGCTTGCAGAGTGTTTTTCAACTTTGGAGCCAACAATGAAAGGTCAGGTGATTTCACATAAAAATTCACATTTCTGGCTTCTCCTGTAACTTTGGATGACCTGGCAACATGAGGTCTAGGTCCCCACGAGCAACAGGACGCTGGGAGGGAGCTGACCGGCAGCTGTCCCCTCCAGCCAGGGCATGTCTGGGCTTTGCCACAGGCCCCACCAGGCCTCCCATCACCCCTGGCTGAGAGGTCCCAGAGTGGCCGCCTCCAGTTTCAGGGGACGATGTGATCAGGCCCGGCCTGGCGTCCCTTTTCCTTCCTACTGTCGCCCCTCCATGGTCCCCCGGACCCAAGGCCGCCAGGGAGGTATTGGCCCTTCAAAAGCTACCCCCACTTGCCCCTGCACGTCCTCAGGCAGATGACCAGCCGCCAGGTGCGGCCCTCGCAACGTCTCTGGGTCCCTCTGGCCACGCCCAGCCATGCGGCATGACTGTAGCGTTCCCGCTCCCCGCTCCCCACAGACTCCGGGTCCCGCCTCTTCCTGGCCTGTACTTCCCGCCCCCTGCCCCCCTGGACCGGGTACCTGAGAGGCACATCACAGGGCCCTAGGGGTGGCTCTGGGAAGGTCTGCCGGCACACAATGACCCAGAGCAAGAACGGGGCCCAAGGCAACATCTGGGTGACCTCAGGCCTTGGCCATCACGTCCTCCAGCCTGGACTTGGCCAAGGCCACGGAGGAAGCCGGTGGCCCCGCAAGGACTGGGAGACACGTACCCAGACTTGGGTCAGGCCCGGGTGGAAGAGCTTTTACCCCTCTCTGGGCCGGTGGTGGTCACCCTGACTGCCTGCCTTTCATGGTCTCTGTTTAGAGCCCAGGGAGGACACCAAGAGGGTGTGGCCTGGCCACAAAGACGTCACCATTCCTGCACTGCCCAGGTCCTGGGGTGGCCCCATGTGGGCGGATGAGCACACACCTGGGCAGGAAGTGGCAGACCTGGGCCCAGCGTGGGAGCTCCTGGAGCCGCGGGCGGGCCTGGCTCAGCTCCGCCTCCTGTGCTGCCGGGGTTCTGGGAACCTCCGGGGCCTCCTCGTGCTCCCAGGAGGGAGGGGACCCCCACAGGCAGGAGGCAGAGCCCGGAGGTGGCCAGGAGGTGGGAAACACAGCCTCCAAGCCCACAGGGGCCATCCTGGGTGGAGGATGCGACGTCACCGCCTCTCTGCCTCTCTGACCTTGCTGGGCGTTGCTGTCCCAGGGCAATCAGAAGGCGGCATGCCAGCGCATGGAGCCGCAGCGGTGGCCCAGCAACGTGATGCAGGTCAGGAGCTCGCCGGCGCCTTGCTGCCTCCCCGCAGCGGGGCGCTCACAGCCCAGCCTCTGACCCGTGGAGGCCAACGGAGACCCTCACGGAGCAAACGCGCAGTGCAGCGTCACTGCGACAGATGCTACCCATGGTGTGGGGACCCGGCTGCCCTGTAATGGTCCTCCAATCCTCCCCTCAGCGATGACATGCCAGGGGGCACTGATACCCGACACCTCTGAAGCCACCAATCCAACAGGTGACAGCTGGAGGTGGCAGGCGGGAGAGGAGAGAGGAAGGGAAGCAGGGGGGACACAAACAGAAACAGGGACCGAGACACCGCCACTGAGCCCAAAACTCAGAGAAGGACAGACAGGGCTCAATGCGGTGAGAAAGGGGAGCAGCCAGAGATGGAGCCGGAGGGTCCTGTCCCTGGCAGAGCCCATGCTGGGGCGCACTGGGCACACGTGGCTGAGGACGGGACCGATGGCCGGGCAGCCCTGGCCCCAAGCGGGGGCACCGATCAGGACGTAGCGATGTCCGCCGGCAGTGCTGGGTGGTCAGCCAGCAGCCTGCTGGAGACAGCACCACGGGGCCCACAGTGACCCAGTCCCGACGGCACTGTTCTGTCCTGCCCATTTGGGAGGCTGTCCCGTAGGGTTGGGAGCCCAGGCTTATCCTCGAGGCCCTGCTCCGTGCCTCCCCAGCCTCAGCGGCACCTCCCCCCGAGCCTCAGTATGTCCATCAGTAAAACGGGGACAACAACAACAGTGACAACGACGGTGAGGCCACCACCTGGCTCTCAGGAGAGCAGATGACAAAAGAAAGCTCAAAGGCCCTCTGGAATCCGAGAGGCACCATCCATCTGAGCAGGGGCTGCTGAGACGGCCCGGGGCCATGCGCCGGCCCAGGAGCAGGCAGACAGGCCGGCGGGTGGGCGCCCTCCTCGCCCGCCCAGGCAGCAGACGGGGCCTCCCCAGCAGCGGCTTCCCGCCAAGCTCCTCCAACCCATCCTGGGAGGGGAGGGCGAGGGAACCGCCCCACCTCTCCCAGCGCCCCCGGTTGCCCTGGAAACTCACCTCGGTGGCTGGGGCCAGCACAGGCGTTGGCCACGGTGTCGTGGGGCTCCGGTTGGTGGGACTGGGACGGCGGGCGATGGCCCACCTCCT